CGGTAGGTTCAGCAGATGCGCTGCTCCCGGCTTTGACATCACCGCTGCCGCTCCCACCGAAAACATGACACTGGACGTGCAGAAGTTGAGCTGGAGTTGTGGCGCTAGCGAGTTGAGCAGATACCAATCGATGGTGGAACCAAGCCGACCTGACTCACGTCCGTCGTACTGGAAGGGCATTCATTATACATGATTCCGAGCGAACTCATTGCCAACCACTCTGTCCAGTCGTTGCTCGATCGACTTGTAGTGGTGCCTCTTCCCCTCTTGCCCCATGTGAGCCAGTACGTCATGCATCCACATCGCTTGCCAGTTGTCGAACTATCGCTTGCTTGATTTTGCTCGCTACTACGACGGCATCAAGTGTCGTAAAAAAGGAGCGCCATCGCCTACAGCACCCAATTCATTCCTCCTATTCCCAAGCTCAAAGCCTCTCCATCTCAAGCAGTCGCCGTTACGCTGCACATCCACAGCTCTGCCCATGCTCCACCGCCACCTATTCGTGCCCAGTGCAAAGCAGCCCCATCGATAGTATCTCGTAGCCGTCACTCACTCCTTCAGCGCCGCAACGCTGCACACGCAGCATCCAAATGACCAAACACCGTCTCAAGCCGCTGTGGCGCTGAGAAAGCCACGACCACGAGCCCAAACGGGAGCTTCTGCACCACGAGTCCACTCGTTTTGCCGCTTGTGACGGCACAGAAGCTCGAGAAAGTAGCGGACACGACGTGGAAGACGGTGGCGCCCAGGCGGATCGAAGGCGTCCCGCTCTCTCTCTGGACGTGAGTCGCCTCTTGAATGGCTTGACGCGTGAGCTGCTCGAAGAGCGCCACGAGCTGCAGCGGATCCACGTCTAGAAACGCGCTCGAGGACGAGTGGAAACACCCGTCCGAGAACAACTCCGAGCAACCGGAGAGCGTGAAGACGCACACGCCGTCGTACAAAGGGTCTCCTCTGCTGCTGCTGCTGCTGCTGCTGCTTTGACTGTCAGGAGAGTGCAGGAGAGTCGAGAGGAAGCGGCGCCAGGACCGCGTGTTGCGGGTCGCCATGGACGGAGGAATCGCACGAGTGTCTCGACGTGTCTGTCGGTGGACAACGCACCGCAAATTGACGAATGGTGCACTTTTGACTGGCGCTCGTGGGAGGAGACTCGATCTACAGGCCAAAGACGCGCATGATGGCGCCAAAGGTGGACGTCGACTGGCTGTGCTTGTAGCGCTTACTGCACTGCCGTAGCCTCGAGACGTCCACGGTGACGCGTTTGCGCTGCAGCAGGGCGACCATGCGCGGAGAGCTCAGGAACTACAGACAGACGATCGAGTCAGGAGATACGAGGTGGATCAAGCAAGCAAGCAGGCGGTGACTCCGTGGACGTCTGGACTGGCCGCACCTGACAGAGCTGCGTGACGTTCTTGGGTTTCCTGGTCAACGAGCACTTTTCAAAGTCCACGAACGTGCAGCGCCACGTGTTCAGCTGCTGCTGCTGCTGCTGCTGGCTGGAGCGATGCACGATCACGTGGCGATGCGGGTGCGTCATCTCGTCCTTGTTCACGCCCAGGAGGTCCATGGCAAAGCACTGGAACGCAAGAGTCAGTCACGTACGTGTCGAGTCAATGCTGAACGGAGCTGCTCGGCGTACCTGGCACAGCATCTCACGGACGACCCAGACGGCGTTCGCTGGAGAAACCGCTTCATCGGCTTGGGCGAGGAACTCCACCACGTTCTTGCCCTGCAGTCGTTCGCACAAGAACCAACCAGCTCCTGCGTCCAGCAGCTTCGGGCCAAGTCCCATGCGGTTCACCACACGAAGCCATTGCGCTTCCAGCGTCACTGAGGCAGTACAAGACGCACTGGCTGCCAGTTTCGCCACCACTGGCTCGCAGCCCGAGCACGTCTCCCCAGCGTACAAGACGCCGCGCTTCCCCCGAGCGAAGAAGCGCAGGTTGGTCACACGCGTCTCCAGTAGTTGCAGCGCTGCGGTTGCAGCGGTGGACGTGAGTTTGTCGATCTTCTCGCCTTCGAGCTTCCACTTCTTCCACCTGGTTCCGTAGCAGACAAACAACAGCAGCAGCAGCTGCAGCACAGTAAGACACCGCAATGACGATCGAGACCACTGACTCGTTCAGCTCGTACCGCTCAAGATGTGCCGAGTTATCGTCACGAGTAGCGGTGCGTGCATCTCTCGTCTCCTCACGATCGTTGGCTGCGGATACTTCTTCGCGGATCTCAGCATTGACGCGAGTGACTCTGTGGAGCTCGAATACTGCAGACTTGACGTTCTCGCGCTCGTGGCTGGACAGCAACGACTGGAGCACCTCGAAACGTGCCAACACGGCGATCTGCCACATGGTCTCACCTAAGGAGGGAATGGCTGGCTGGCTGGCAGGCTGATTAACTGACTGGTTGACTGGCTGGTTGACTGGGTGGGTATTCAGGGAACCCGTTGGACTGAACGCAATACCGTGGTCTCGATATGTCTATTGCTCGCTCGTTACTCGCTACATGTACAGGTCCAAGAGGAACTTCTTGTAGATCGTCATGAACTTGGCCAAGAAGGCTTCAAAGTGGAAAATGTCCTTCGAGCCGCGCTGCATGCGGTGTTCGTAGTACGAGGCCCATTGCACGAGCTCGTGCTTGAGGTCGTCGTCCAAGCGGCTCATGAGTTCACGGCAGAGCACCTTGAGGATCACCTCGGACGGCACACAGTTGGAGATGAGTTCGTAGATCATTTCACGCGCTTTCAAGAGACTAGAGACACAGCAGCAGCAGCAGCAGCACCAGCACCAGCAAGAGTAAATTAGCTCAACCTTGTCGCACGCACTCTGTCTCATTCCCGTCTGCAACGGAACGTACCCAGCAGGCGACTGCTCCTGCAGCACCACCTTTGCCAGATTGCAAATGTACTCTTCCCACGCCGGCAGCTGGATCCGTTGATCGGGTGAGAACGGATAGCTGCAATAACAACAACAACAACAACAGCCGCATGAACGACCGTCAGCACAACTCCACAAGCACCACACATCAAGCACCACACAGCACAGAACCCACGCCTTCCAGCTGCCACTCACTTTTGCACACGACACGTTTCGAGCATGAGCAGCGCTCGTCGAAGGTTCCGCTCGCTCTTTACCGCAATCTGCTCGCCCAGCGGGGCGCAGTAGTCGATCCCCTCCTTCACACACACTCCTTGTAAAACGGCGCACACTTGTTCAGTCGTCGGCGCGCCGACGCGCACACCGAGACAGCGACTGCGCAGCGGATCGATCACTTTCGACGGGTTATTGCAGCACAGCACCAAGCGGCACGTGGCCGTGTACTTCTCCATGGTCCGACGCAGCGCGTGCTGCGCGTGTTTGCTGAGCCGGTCCACTTCCATGAGCAGCACGACCTTGAAGGGCTGGCGAGCGTTCGTGTCCGCCAGATGGTACTGCGCGATCTCCTTGAGCACTTCTTGCACCACGAGGCGGTCGCTCGAGCCGGCGTCCGACGGGTTCATCTCGATGTGGAAGTTGCTGGCCACGGTCGTGATCTCCACCTTCGTGCTGCGGTTCGGGGCCTTGAACGACTTGTGCTCGAGCCGCACTTTGAGAGCGCCGTCGCCGTAGAGAGCGCGCAAGAGCGCCATGATGCGCGTCTTCTTGCCAGCGCCAGAGGGGCCGTAGACGAGCAGGTGTGGCAGGTCGGACGACTGCGACAGGTTCGACAGGCGCTTGGTCACTTCGGGGTGGAAGTCGAGGGCCGACAGCGACGTCGGGCGGTACTTGTCGACCCACAGCATGTTCGGGTCGGGGTTGAGATGGCGATGATGTTGGCAAGTGTTGGGTCGTGGGTGGAAAGTCCTGGGATCGGAGATGGGTTTTATTTGGAAAAAGAGAGCGACGGCAGCGTGTGTGTAGCTTGTCGTGAGCGATGACTAGGGTGGACACTGTGAAAAAAACACCACCACCACCACCACCACCATTTCTGCCTCATAAAACACCACTTTTGTCTATCTATGCACGATTTGTGTGCCGGCTATTTCTCAGTGCTATCATAGTTGTTCTATGGAGTTGTACCCAGTACCAGTACCTCCAGCTTGCCGATTTCCCAGATCTAGTACCTTTCCCAATTGTAGTACCAGTTTCTCCCAATATTGTGTGTGACTACACTAAATTACACCACATAGTAAATAGCTGACAACACGCATTCGCTCATCGATCTGCGTCAAGTATATGGGACGACAGGGCTTTCACTAGGACAAAGGTTTGAGTCCGGATCCAAGGCCACATAATTTCTGTAAGACTACTGCTTAAATGCAAACAAGATGTACATCATGACAAGCGGCAGTGGGAAATGCACTAAGTACGGCTATGGTGACAAGGAATGCACATGAAAGGGCGCGTAAGTCGGCAAGTGGATGGGGTTATGTGCGTCTCTACAATCATTGACAACACCTTTGTGCGTCCATGCCAAAACCAACTCAACGACAGATAGTCAAGTAAAGCGCTTGGGGTACATAAAAAACAGAGATGATAGCCTCTTCTTGACAGTCGATTCGAAAACATTCGATCAGCGTAAAACTGATTGCGCTAAGCGATAAATCAGCAATTGTTTTGTTTCTACATAATTCCGCACGACCCAGCATGAACCATGTCTGTCACACCGCGCTATCTTCGTCACTACCAGACCTTGCTACCTCTGCAGTCATATGGCTGTAGCTATAGCATTAGCATCAAAATGTTTCGTACGCTCTGGTGGTCAATCAGAATTACGGATTGCACCAAAATTTATCGCTGGCGCCGATGCTGCTGAGCTTCGCGCTGATGTTGAGGACCTCATTGCAATGATGCATGACATTTCCGCCTTCTGTCATCTCCATGCTGAACAGCTGTCGCTTCAAGAAGGTCCATAAACTGCCTTCTACGACCCACCATACAGTGTCTTCAAACGCACCCACGCGACCCATGCTATTTTGCTTTCATCAACCAAATGATGGAAGTCGGCGTCCATGTACAGTAACATCAGTCCGAGCGAACGTTTTTCGTCTTGATATAATCGTCACTGTCGCGAGTATTCGAGAAGTTTGGCGTCGTCTCTCGGTTGGCCACATGCCACGTCGACTTGGTCTGGGACGCGCCACACATGTAGCGGCTCCACGTCGCGAACTTGTCCCCATCAAATTTGTCAATGAAAAACTTGGTAATGGAACTTTTTGCAGAGGAAATCTCCTGTGGGCTCATAACTTGATGAAATGTCAGATGAGTCATCGAAGACGCTTAAATACACGAAAGAAATTAGCACACAAAGTAAAGACAATTTTTTGGAGAGGTAAAATCGGAAAGCATATAATGTATCGCATGATTTATATGTGTCCAAATATAATTCAGCGGCGACTGTTCACGCTCTTATTTAGCAATGACCGCATTTAAAGCATGTGCGACTGTCTATGCACTAATTTATAGTAACCACGTACAAATCAAGTAGATTCCCGTCAACCTAAAGATCTGATAAACTCTGAGGTAGTTGCCCTTGTAAGAACCATGTCATTAGAAGTTATTACCCTTGCAGATCGGATTGTACAGATAATCCATCAATACGTACCTTCAATATTATTAAGTTTGAATGCCGATATCTGCCGTCATGTCTTTGTGGCGTGATCCCAAAGTTTCTTCGTCAAGATATCCGCCAACATAGACGCCGTTCTGCTGTACTGAGCTTTACTTCTCCACGCTTCACTCAATCACAGATGTGATGTTACTTGATTTTAATGTGCTTGCCTCAACCAAAATTCACTGGATTTTTCGTCATCTCGATAAAGAGGCGATTGTCTTCAGCAAAAACAAGCTAAATTCCAATTTCTATGGATTCCTTTAACACCTCACACAGCAAGCGATAAACCTACTTGCCTCTTTGATTAGCCAGGCAGAGTACGATGTGTTCCGCCTCGCTCGTTGAAAGTGACATATTTGACTGTTTCTTGCTTCCCCAGCTCCACAGGCGCGCCCACCAGGGTGATACGCATCATGAAGTCGAATTGCGGTCCGCATGATCACCAGACCAATCCGCGTCCGATGTCCGCAAAAGGATACCATATCACCAGGTTTGGAACATGATTCATGCAGTTTGATCATTTGCAAATAGCAAAAGATGCGTTTCACCGCAGTTCAATGAGTGTCGTGAGGATCATCCATGAAGAGTGAGACATACCAAACTGCAAATGCAATTTCAGGTCAAGTCGCTGTCATGGGATGCATGAGTGCACCTGCAGCTTCGCAAAATGGCGCATTGAATTCGGTCGTGGAGTCACTTGACACCAATCATAAACTAATGCCTACCGGACTTTCCAGTGTCTTGCATTTCATCTTAGGCGAAACGCTTCAAGCTTTTGTCTACATAGCATCGCTAGCACAGCTGGCGAATCGTCAAACTTTCATCAGATCCATAAATAAGCTTTAGTCACAGCACAAACGCGCACTTGCCACTTTCGGCCATCTTAAACTGTGTTTAAAGATCGCTCTTAGTGCACGTATCATATCTATTGAGCTTTTAGTCGTTTAAACATCATCGACGAACACTAGTAGCAGCACCCAATGCCCTTCAATTGTTTAAATGTAAAAGCAAACAATAAAAGCCGGCGCTTGAATCCATATGGAGTATACGAACTCGTCCAAGGTCTCGTTCCATTCTCGAGACGTTTGTTTCAGGCCAAAAATGCATTATACCAACTCGAGTAGGTCAAATTCATTGTAGGACTCTAAGCCTGCGGGGATCGAGCAAAAGACTTTTCCATCACCACGCCACAGAGAAATGCCGTAAAAACTTCAAGTTGATCCAGGGGCCAGCTGAACTATTTTGCTAGGTTGCTACCCTGTGAGTAAACTCACAGGTAGCATTCGACAACTAGTGACAATGTCTGAGTGTAGTCGACACCATCCTTTTGTTATAAGCCCTTGGCTACTAGTCGCGCCTTATACTTTTTAATGGTTCCGTCACCTGTTCACTTGATTTGAATACGCACTTCGTGCCGATAGCGCGATATCCATTCGTAAACTTAGTGGCTCAAAATACACCTCGGAATCGCATCGACTTCAGCTCCGCGCGCATAGCCTTTCGCCAATGAGCTTGATCCGGTCCACTAACAGCTATATAAAATATTGCTGCATCAGAAAAATCTCAAGCTTCGACTGCATTGGCACTGTCACGCCAAAATAAGAAGGGTTCGCATCCTGTTCATTGCGGTAATCGTTGCCTTTTTGTTCTTCGTCCTGTTCGACGCGGATACCTGGTCTTCGTTTCGCGCGAACTTCTTTGTTTAAAGCACTTGCTGTTTCAAGTTTAGCCCCACAACGGGCGGTAAATTAGATTCGAAAAGTCGTTTTTTTGTTTCCAGCTTAGTTTTTTCGTAGTATGCCATTCAGGTTGAATTTTCTTTTATCAGGTCCATTATCGATTGCAAGTGAGTCGAAGTCCAACGCAGCGTCTATGATGACTTCTTCCAGGACTGTTGGCGAAAATCAAAGGAGAACCTATCAAAGTTGACATCTCGGGTGATCACCACCTGACCTGCCTGGATGTTGAAGACTCGATACACCTTTACCTGTCTTTGTACCCGATCAGCGGTCCTTCACAAGCTTTTTGATCCCACGTAAGTCGCTTTTCTTTTTGAGTGAGGACATTTACGCGACATCCGAGCGCTTTCATGCGTTTGATGCTTAGCTTGGACTTGTACATAATCCAAACGGATTCTTGTCTTTGAATTTGGGCGAAGTAAAGCGTATTGATGTAAATTGCAGTCACCGCAAACTTCAGTCCAGAAGCACTTGTCAAATTTTACATGATGAAGCAAATTGCGCCCGATCGTGATAACGGTCCGGATGGCACTTTTGCTGTGTCATTGGTCTGATGCGCGTACAAGACTGCGACTTGCTAATCGAGGACTTGTTCCTCACATAAAGCCTTGGATGAATACATCGCAAATTCGCGCGCTTTATCGTTTCGGACAAAAGTCACCTTCTCGTTGAATTGTGTCTGCACCACACGACATATAACTTATGGCACGCTTCACTTTCCGACTTTGCCTTTAAAAAGAAGCCCTTCATCCACCCAAAAGCTTCTTTACCAACCAGTAGCGGATACTAGATGCCACTCAGTGATTTAGCATCCATAGGTTCGCACGTTTCGATGTGAAGCAGCTCTAACGTGTCATACTGGTGTTTGTCAGGGTTTCTTAGAAATATTTTTGGCTAAATATTCCTTCTTGACAGCCACGATGCACTTTTAGCCCACATGGAACTGATTGCAACTGCGCATTGTTAAAGCCTGAAGAACAATGTGCGAGGATACAAAGCTTGAAGAAAGCTAAAGAAGTCTACACCACAAAGTGAAGACGACTTGTGCTGAAGAAGGAATGTTTAGAAGTTATTGATTAATAGGTATCAACTCTGCCTACGCTTGGCTGCATCCAATCCCATGGTGCATTTAATCAACCTGATTTACACGCGTCCAATCATCCTACGCGTCTAACCAACTCTGAAGTAATCACCGACATAAAAACTATTCCGTATACACTACGCTCATATATCGGATTGTACCAGTAACCTTCAATGCGCACCCTCAATGCACACTCTTAATTCAAACATGCGTGAATGTCGAGAGCCGCCGTCATGTCTTTGTGACGTGGTTCTAGTAGTCCCTTCGTCATGCTGTCCGCCAATATATTCGTCGTCTCACATGATTCCAGCCTGACTTCCCCGCGCTTAACCTCATTAAGGATGTAATGGTACTTGATTTTGATGTGCTTGGATTGTCCATGGTTCACCGGGTTCGTCGTCATCTTGATGCAGGACTGGTTGTCTTCCATAACCTTGAGCTCGGACTCGGACTTGTCCGCTGCGGTAGCCAGAAAATTTTCGCGCAGCAAGCAATGCACCCACTTGCCTTCTTGAATTGCCAGACTTAGAGCGATATACTCGGCTTCACTTGTTGACAATTACACACTTGGTTGCTTCTTGCTACCCCAGCTCACCGGAGCACATAGGATCATGAATGCGTCTCTCTAAGTAGACTTGCGATTCACATGGTTGCCGGCCCAGTATGCATCCGAGTAGCCGTAGAAATCCATCTTGTCGTCGAGTTTGAAGCAGATGCCGTGCGATTTGGATCCATGCAAGTATCGCACAATACGCTTGACCGACATCCAGTGCTCGACTTGCGGTTTATCCATGAAGCGCGAAACATAGCTCACAGTGAAGGCAATGTCCGGTCGTGTCGCGGTCGTCAAGTGCATTAAGGCACCCACTGCTTGATGAAACGGAGCGTCGATATTGGTCGCTGCGTTACTTGGTGGAGTCGAGGGGTGATGTCCGTTGGGCTGATGACAGCTTTGCAATCGCTCATGCCGAATCGCTTCAGAGCATCGTCAACGTAGCGTCGCTGGCACATCGTCACGCTGACTTCATCCTTTACCATCTCGATACCCAACACAAAAGAACACTTACCTCTGTCAGTCATCTCGAAATACGACTTCAAGTCGTACGCGCAATCATTTCGGTCGAGATGCCAGTCACCAACACATCATCGACGTAGACCAGCAAACACGCACTGTCCGCTTGCGACCTTGAAATCGATGCATGGGTCAAAGTCGGACGCTTGAAGTCCGATAGAGCAGACGAGCTCATGGAAAATTTCTTTCCATACCCGTGAAGCTTGTTCAGCCTGTAGATTGCTTTAACCATCTCGAAGCAGTCAAAGTCTTCAGTGACTTCTACACCCTCTGGGACCGCGCAAAACACTGGTCCCTTTATTTCACCGTGCAGATCAGTAGTCACCACATCTAGCTGGTGGTCACGATCACCATGCCAAGTGTCACATACTTGACGCCTGGTGAGAACGTCTTCGTGGAGTCAATGTCATGTCTTGTCTTAAACCCTTTTGCCACGAGACGCGCCTTGTACGTTTCGATCGGTTCATCAGCCTCGCGCTCGATCTTAAACACCCACTTGGTACCAATGGTGTGCTGTCCCGCTGGCAGCTTGGTCCCTCGGAACACGCCACGTAGCTTCATTGAGTCCAACTCGGCGCAAAGCGCATTACGACAATGAACTCGATCCGGACCACTACCCGCGTGTTGAAACGTTGTCAGCTCGGACAAGTCAGTACCTTTGGCTGCATTGGCACTTGCTTGCCAGAAGACTAGAGGAGAGTCATCATCGTCATCTTCATCACCGCCTTTTCGCTCTTCGTCTAGATTGGCGCGAGTTCTTTAGCACCGTTTCGCTTGACGCGACTCAAAATCATCTGGTGCACTTGCTTCTTCCAACCCGTCTCCACTCCGATTAGGAAGTGTCCGTTGATAGACTTTTTCATGGCAGTTTGAACGGCTCTTTCGCTTTATATTTTGCCTGAACTGCATGGTGCAAAGCTCATCACTGGTGTCCATCGCGTCGAAGTCCAGCGCAGTGTCATCGACAACTTCTTGCGGCAGTGCCCGTGATAATCCAAACGTTGATTCGTCAAAGGTGACATCACGCGATATTACCACTTGATCTGCTTTAATTTCGTAAATGCGGTATAATTTCAACACTTCTTTGAAACCCATGAACATCCTTCTCAAGTCTTCGGGTCCCACTTCGATCGCTTTTCTTTGGGGTCAACACGAACGCTCGGTATTCATAAACTCGCATGTGCTTCACACTTGGCCGCAACTTTTGATGATCTCGAACGGAGTTCAGTCTTGGAACTTGGCTGAAGGCAGGCGATTCTTGACGTAGATCGCCGTCATTGCTGCCTCGGCCCAAAAGCACTCGTCCGGTTTTGCATAGTGAAGCAAGCTGCGGACGATTGTCCCGATGATCCGAATCCCTTGTTTTGCTTTGCCATTAGTCTAGTGCGCATATGGAACGGTGACCTGCTGCTCGATTCCTTGATCATTGTAGAATGCCTTGAGCGAAGTCGATGCACACTCACGCGCACCATTGTGCCGAACATATTTAACCGTGCAGTCAAACTGCATCTGGACCACCACGATGTACTTCTTGATGCACTTTTCACTGTCGAACTTGGCGCCCAGACTGAAGCCCATCATGCATCCACTGCCTTCATCTTCTATCAGCAGCAATTACTTGGCTCCAACTAACAAGTCGGCTTCCATCGGGTCACACGTGTCGATGTGCAGAAGCTCAAACGGATCATAGTGACGCTTGTTCGGGATGCTTGGAAACGGTCGCTGCACCATTTCTTCTTCTTGACAACCACGACGCACGCTTGATTCGCTTGATCTTGGTGGTATCTTGACATCCTTGATCATGTTCTTGGAAACCATCCTGTACAGGACCTCAGTTGGTGCGTGGCCCATACGCGCATGATGATCTTCGTCTCTTGATCGCAATGTAGCATTCACGGATCTTTGCAGTGGACGAAGCCAGTCGATTCCGTCTACAATTTCCGCCATTGCCATCACTTGCTCGGAGTCTTTGTGTAAAATCTACATCGCGACACCATGGAACATCACTTGAGCTTTGCAGCTCTTATTGATTTGCGGAAATAACAGCAGATTTTTGCTCATTCTTGGGACGTAAAGCGCGTTCTTGATCTCGCGCTCTTCAACGCTTTGCGGGACCTTTCCTTGTTCCCATCTACGACCAACGCTTTGCCTTCATCGCGCTCGTCCGGAAATTTGAACTTGTTCTTGTCATGGCAGATGTGTTGCGTCGCACCGCTGCTATTCGCCCATATCCCAGACGTCTTCTTGATCGCTGAAATTATGCATTCCAGTAAACAGCAAACACCACTCGATCGTAGTCGCAGTTGTTGTTGCTGTTGTATCCTTGCCACTGGACTTGATTCGCTCCGCGTCCAGGAGCATTGCTACCGCGTCGAGCTCCCCGATTCTCTCCTTCTGCTTGGTCCAGCAACGTTCCACTTCTCCCCAATTTCCGCAGAACGAGCATCGACGAACTTCGCGCTCGGTACTGAAGGCCTTGGTCACTTCTTCAGCCTTCAACGCCGCAGACTTGGCACCTTGATGCTTGATATGATCGTTCGTCAACACATTGACAGCGTCGCGCAGTTGCAGTTTGCGCTGCTCATCTACAAGTTGAGACCGACGTTCTCGCAGCTCTTGGAAAGACTGCTTCACAAGAAGATCGCTACGTCCTCGTCCTCCATCTTGGCGCTGATGCTGCTGAGCTTCGCGCTGAAGTTGAGGACTTCATTACAATGATGCATGGCATTGCCGCCTTCCGCCATCTCCATGCTGAACAGCTATCGCTTCAAGGAGGTCCATAAACCGCCTTCTGCGACCTACCATACAGTGTCTTCAAACGCACACACGCGACCCATGCTATTTTGCTTTCATCAACCATATGATGGAAGTCGGCGTCCATGTGCAGTAACATCGGTCCGAGCGAACTGTTTTTCGTCTTGATATAATCGTCACTGTCGCGAGTATTCGACAAGGTTGGCGTCGTCTCTCGGTTGACCACATGCCACGTTGACTTGGTCTAGACCACGCCACACATGTAGCGGCTCCACGTCGCGAACTTGTCCCCATCAAATTACTCAATAACATTTTGATGGAGATCTTGGTGATGGAACCTTGTGCAGGTGACATCGTGCTTGAGCACATAACCCAATAAAGTCTGACGAGCGCTGGGCGAGGACACAAAGCTTGAAGAAAGCTAAAGAAGTCTACACCACAAAGTGAAGACGACTTGTGCTGAAGAAGGAATGTTTAGAAGTTATTGATTAATAGGTATCAACTCTGCCTACGCTTGGCTGCATCCAATCCCATGGTGCATTTAATCAACCTGATTTACACGCGTCCAATCCTCCTACGCGTCTAACCAACTCTGAAGTAATCACCGACATAAAAACTATTCCGTATACACTACGCTCATATATCGGATTGTACCAGTAACCTTCAATGCGCACCCTCAATGCACACTCTTAATTCAAACATGCGTGAATGTCGAGAGCCGCCGTCATGTCTTTGTGACGTGGTTCTAGTAGTCCCTTCGTCATGCTGTCCGCCAATATATTCGTCGTCTCACATGATTCCAGCCTGACTTCCCCGCGCTTAACCTCATTAAGGATGTAATGGTACTTGATTTTGATGTGCTTGGATTGTCCATGGTTCACCGGGTTCGTCGTCATCTTGATGCAGGACTGGTTGTCTTCCATAACCTTGAGCTCGGCTCGGACTTGTCCGCTGCGGTAGCCAGAAAATTTTCGCGCAGCAAGCAATGCACCCACTTGCCTTCTTGAATTGCCAGACTTAGAGCGATATACTCGGCTTCACTTGTTGACAATTACACACTTGGTTGCTTCTTGCTACCCCAGCTCACCGGAGCACATAGGATCATGAATGCGTCTCTCTAAGTAGACTTGCGATTCACATGGTTGCCGGCCCAGTATGCATCCGAGTAGCCGTAGAAATCCATCTTGTCGTCGAGTTTGAAGCAGATGCCGTGCGATTTGGATCCATGCAAGTATCGCACAATACGCTTGACCGACATCCAGTGCTCGACTTGCGGTTTATCCATGAAGCGCGAAACATAGCTCACAGTAAAGGCAATGTCCGGTCGTGTCGCGGTCGTCAAGTGCATTAAGGCACCCACTGCTTGATGAAACGGAGCGTCGATATTGGTCGCTGCGTTACTTGGTGGAGTCGAGGGGTGATGTCCGTTGGGCTGATGACAGCTTTGCAATCGCTCATGCCGAATCGCTTCAGAGCATCGTCAACGTAGCGTCGCTGGCACATCGTCACGCTGACTTCATCCTTTACCATCTCGATACCCAACACAAAAGAACACTTACCTCTGTCAGTCATCTCGAAATGCGACTTCAAGTCGTACGCGCAATCATTTCGGTCGAGATGCCAGTCACCAACACATCATCGACGTAGACCATCAAACACGCACTGTCCGCTTGCGACCTTGAAATCGATGCATGGGTCAAAGTCGGACGCTTGAAGTCCGATAGAGCAGACGAGCTCATGGAAAATTTCTTTCCATACCCGTGAAGCTTGTTCAGCCTGTAGATTGCTTTAACCATCTCGAAGCAGTCAAAGTCTTCATTGACTTCTACACCCTCTGGGACCGCGCAAAACACTGGTCCCTTTATTTCACCGTGCAGATCAGTAGTCACCACATCTAGCTGTTCCAGCGTCCAGTAAAAGTACTCGTGGTCACGATCACCATGCCAAGTGTCACATACTTGACGCCTGGTGAGAACGTCTTCGTGGAGTCAATGTCATGTCTTGTCTTAAACCCTTTTGCCACGAGACGCGCCTTGTACGTCTCTATCGGTTCATCAGCCTCGCGCTCGATCTTAAACACCCACTTGGTACCAATGGTGTGCTGTCCCGCTGGCAGCTTGGTCCCTCGGAACACGCTACGTAGCTTCATTGAGTCCAACTCGGCGCAAAGCGCATTACGACAATGAACTCGATCCGGACCACTACCCGCGTGTTGAAACGTTGTCAGCTCGGACAAGTCAGTACCTTTGGCTGCATTGGCACTTGCTTGCCAGAAGACTAGAGGAGAGTCATCATCGTCATCTTCATCACCGCCTTTTCGCTCTTCGTCTAGATTGGCGCGAGTTCTTTAGCGCCGTTTCGCTTGATGTGACTCAAAATCATCTGGTGCACTTGCTTCTTCCAACCCGGCTCCACTGCGATTAGGAAGTGTCCGTCAACAACTTTTTCATGGCAGTTTGAACGGCTCTTTCGCTTTATATTGTGCCTGAACTGCATGGTGCAAAGCTCATCACTGATGTCCATCGCGTCGAAGTCCAGCGCAGTGTCATCGACAACTTCTTGAGGCAGTGCCCGTGATAATCAAAACTTTGATTCGTCAAAGGTGACATCACGCGATATTACCACTTGATCTGCTTTAATTTCGTAAATGCGGTATACTTTCAACACTTCTTTGTAACCCATGAACATCAAGCCTTCGGGTCCCACTTCGATCACTTTTCTTTGGGATCAACACGAACGCTCGGTATTCATAAACTCGCATGTGCTTCACACTTGGTCGCAACCTTTAATGAAATTGAACGGAGTTCAGTCTTGGTAATGGGGGAAGACTTCAATCGCTTTTCTTTGGGGTCAACACGAACGCTCGGTATTCAAAAGCTCGCATGTGCTTCACACTTGGCCGCAACCTTTGATGATCTCGAACGGAGTTCAGTATTGGTACTTCGGTGAAGGCAGGCGATTCTTGACGTAGATCGCCGTCATTGCTGCCTCGGCCCAAAAACACTCGTCCAGTTTTGCGTAGTGAACCAAGCTGCGGACGATTCTCCCGATGATCCGAATCCCTTTTTTTGCTTTGCTCTTAGTCTAGTGCGCATATGGAACGGTGACCTGCTGCTCGATTCCTTGATCATTGTAGAATGCCTTGAGCGAAGTCGACGCACACTCACGCGCACCATTGTGCCGAACATATTTAACCGTGCAGTCAAACTGCATCTGGACCGCCACGATGTACTTCTTGATGCACTTTTCACTGTCGAACTTGGCGCCCAGACTGAAGCCCATCATGCATCCACTGCCTTCATCTTCTATCAGCAGCAATTACTTGGCTCCAACTAACAAGTCGGCTTCCATCGGGTCACACGTGTCGATGTGCAGAAGCTCAAACGGATCATAGTGACGCTTGTTCGGGTCGCTTGGAAGCGGTCGCTGCACCATTTCTTCTTCTTGACAACCACGACGCATGCTTGATTCGCTTGATCTTGGTGGTATCTTGACATCCTTGATCATGTTCTTGGAAACCATCCTGTACAGGACCTCAGTTGGTGCGTGGCCCATACGCGCATGATGATCTTCGTCTCTTGATCGCAATGTAGCATTCACGGATCTTTGTAGTGGACGAAGCCGGTCGACCATGTCTACAAGTTCTACCATTGCCATCACTTGCTCGGAGTCTTTGTGTAAAATCTACATCGCGACACCATGGAACATCACTTGAGCTTTGCAGCTCTTATTGATTTGCGGAATTGACAGCAGATTTTTGCTCATTCTTGGGACGTAAAGCGCGTTCTTGATCTCGCGCTCTTCAACGTTTTGCGGGACCTTTCCTTGTTCCCATCTACGACCAACGCTTCGTCTTCATCGCGCTCGTCCGGAAATTTGAACTTGTTCTTGTCATGGCAGATGTGTTGCGTCGCACCGCTGCTATTCGCCCATATCCCAGACGTATTCTTGATCGCTGAAATTACGCATTCCAGTGAAACAGCAAACACCACTCGATCGTAGTCGCAGTTGTTGTTGCTGTTGTATCCTTGCCACTGGACTTGATTCGCTCCGCGTCCAGGAGCATTGCTACCGCGTCGAGCTCCCCGATTCTCTCCTTCTGCTTGGTCCAGCAACGTTCCACTTCTCCCCAATTTCCGCAGAACGAGCATCGACGAACCTCGCGCTCGGTACTGAAGGCCTTGGTCACTTCTTCAGCCTTCACCGCCGCAGACTTGGCACCTTGATGCTTGATATGATCGTTCGTCAACACATTGACAGCGTCGCGCAGTTGCAGTTTGCGCTGCTCATCTACAAGTTGAGACCGACGTTCTCGTAGCTATTGAGGAGATTGCTTCAAAAGAAGATCGCTACGTCCTCGTCCTCCATCTTGGCGCTGATGCTGCTGAGCTTCGCTCTGATGTTGAGGACTTCATTAAAATGATGCATGACATTGCCGCTTTCCGCCATCTCCATGCTGAACAGCTATCGCTTCAAGGAGGTCCATAAACCGCCTTCTGCGACCTACCATACAGTGTCTTCAAACGCACACACGCGACCCATGCTATTTTGCTTTCATCAACCATATGATGGAAGTCGGCGTCCATGTGCAGTAACATCGGTCCGAGCGAACTGTTTTTCGTCTTGATATAATCGTGACTGTCGCGAGTATTCGACAAGGTTGGCGTCGTCTCTCGGTTGACCACATGCCACGTTGACTTGGTCTAGACCACGCCACACATGTAGCGGCTCCACGACGCGAACTTGTCCCCATCAAATTACTCAATAACATTTTGATGGAGATCTTGGTGATGGAACCTTGTGCAGATGACATCGTGCTTGAGCACATAACCCAATAAAGTCTGACGAGCGCTGGGCGAGGACACAAAGCTTGAAGAAAGCTAAAGAAGTCTACACCACAAAGTGAAGACGACTTGTGCTGAAGAAGGAATGTTTAGAAGTTATTGATTAATAGGTATCAACTCTGCCTACGCTTGGCTGCATCCAATCCCATGGTGTATTTAATCAACCTGATTTACACGCGTCCAATCATCCTACGCGTCTAACCAACTTCTGAAGTAATCACCGACATAAAAACTATTCCGTATGCACTACGCTCGAATATCGGATTGTACCAGTAACCTTCAATGCGCACCCTCAATGCGCACCCTCAATGCAAATTTGCGTGAATGCCGAGAGCCGCCGTCATGTCTTTGTGCCGTGGTCCTAGTAGCCCCTTCGTCATGATGTCCGCCAATATATTCGTCGTCTCACAAGATTCCAGCTTGACTTTCCCGCACTTAACCTCATTAAGGATGTAATGGTACTTGATTTTGATGCTCTTGGCTTTACCATGGATCACCGAGTCCTTCGTCATCTTGATGCAGGACTGGTTGTCTTCCATAACCTTGAGCTCGGACTTGTCCGCTGCGGTAGCCAGAAAATTATCGCGCAGCAAGCGATGCACCCACTTGCCTTCTTGAATCGCCAGACTTAGAGCGATATACTCGGCTTCACTTGTTGACAATTACACACTTGGTTGCTTCTTGCTACCCCAGCTCACCGGAGCACATAGAATCATGAGTGCGTCTCTCTAAGTAGACTTGCGATTCACATGGTTGCCGGCCCAGTCTGCATCCGAGTAGCCGTAGAAATCCACCTTGCCGCCGAGTTTGGAGCAGATGCCGTGCGATTTGGATCCATGCAAGTATCGCACAATACGCTTGACCGACATCCAGCGCTCGACTTGCGGTTTCTCCATGAAGCGCAAGACGTAGCTCACAGTTAAGGCAATGCCCGGTCGTGTCGCGGTCGTCAAGTGCATTAAGGCACCCACTGCTTGATGAAACAGAGCGTCGATATTGGTCGCTGCGTTACTTGGTGGAGTCGAGGGGTGATGTCCGTTAGGCTGATGACAGCTTTGCAATCGCTCATGCCGAACCGCTTCAGAACACCGTCTACGTAGCGTCGTTGGCATATCGTCACGCTGCCTTCATCCTTTACCATCTTGATACCCAACACAAAAGAACACTTGCCTCTGTCAGTCATCTCGAAATGCGACTTCAAGTCGTACGCGCAATCATTTCAGTCGAGCTGCCAGTCACCAACACATCATCGACGTAGACCATCAAACACGCACTGTCCGCTTGCGACCTTGAAATCGATGCATGGGTCAAAGTCGGACGCTTGAAATCTGATAGAGCAGACGAGCTCATGGAAAGTTTCTTTCCACACCCGTGAAGCTTGTTCAGTCTGTAGATTGCTTTCACCATCTCGAAGCAGTCAAAGTCTTCAGTGACTTCTACACCCTCTGGGACCGCGCAAAACACTGGTCCCTTTATTTCACCATGCAGATAAGCTGTCACCACATCTAGTTGTTCCATCGTCCAGTAAAAGTACTCGTGATCACGATCACCATGCCAAGTGTCACATACTTGACGCCTGGTGAGAACGTCTCCGTGAAGTCAATGTCATTTCTTGTCTTGAACCCTTTTGCCACGAGACGGGCCTTGCACTTTTCGATCGGTTCATCAGCCTCGCGCTCGATCTTAAACACCCACTTGGTACCAATGGTGTGCTGTCCATCTGGCAGCTTGGTCCCTCGGAACACGCCATGTATCTTCATTGAGTCCAACTCGCGCAAATCGCATTACGACAATGAACTCGATCCGGACCACTACCCGCGTGTTGAAACGCTGTCGGCTCGGACAAGTCAGTACCTTTGGCTGCATTGGCACTTGCTTGCCAGAAGACTAGACGAGGTTCATCATCTTCATCTTCATCACCGCCTTTTCGCTCTTCGTCTAGATTGGCGCGAGTTCTTTAGCGCCGTTTCGCTTGACGCGACTCAAAAATGATCTGGTGCACTTGCTTCTTTCAACCCGGCTCCACTGCGATTAGGAAGTGTCCGTTGATAGACTTTTTCATGGCAGTTTGAACGGCTCTTTCGCTTTCTATTGTGCCTGAACTGCATGGTGCAAAGCTCATCACTGATGTCCATCGCGTCGAAGTCCAGCGCAGTGTCATCGACAACTTCTTGCGGCAGTGCCCGTGATAATCCAAACGTTGATTCGTCAAAGGTGACATCACGCGATATTACCACTTGATCTGCTTTAATTTCGTAAATGCGGTATACTTTCAACACTTCTTTGTAACCCATGAACATCAAGCCTTCGGGTCCCACTTCGATCGCTTTTCTTTGGGGTCAACACGAACGCTTGGTATTCAAAAGCTCGCATGTGCTTCACACTTGGCCGCAACCTTTGATGATCTCGAACGGAGTTCAGTCTTGGTAGTTGGGGAAGACTTCGATCGCTTTTCTTTGGGGTCGACACGAACGTTCGGTATTCAAAAGCTCGCATGTGCTTCACACTTGGCCGCAACCTTTGATGATCTCGAACGGAGTTCAGTCTTGGTACTTCGGTGAAGGCAGGCGATTCTTGACGTAGATCGCCGTCATTACTGCCTCGGCCCAAAAACACTCGTCCAGTTTTGCGTAGTGAAGCAAGCTGCGGACGATTGTCCCGATGATCCGAATCCCTTGTTTTGCTTTGCCATTAGTCTAGTGCGCATATGGAACGGTGACCTGCTGCTCGATTCCTTGACCATCGTAGAATGCCTTGAGCGAAGTCGACGCACACTCACGTGCACCATTGTGCCGAACATATTTAACCGTGCAGTCAAACTGCATCTGAACCGCCACGGTGTACTTCTTGATGCACGTTTCACTGTCGAACTTGGCGCGCAGACTGAAGCCCATCATGCATCCACTGCCTTCATCTACTATCAGCAGCAATTACTTGGCTCCAACTAACGAGTCGGCTTCCATCGGGTCACACGTGTCGATGTGCAGAAGCTCAAACGGATCATAGTGACGCTTGTTCGGGTCGCTTGGAAACGGTCGCTGCACCATTTCTTCTTCTTGACAACCACGACGCACGCTTGATTCGCTTGATCTTGGTGGTATCTTGACATCCTTGATCATGTTCTTGGAAACCATCCTGTACAGGACCTCAGTTGGTGCGTGGCCTATACGCGCATGATGATCTTCGTCTCATGATCGCAATGTAGCATTCACGGATCTTTGCAGTGTACGAAGCCAGTCGATTCCAGTCTACAAGTTCTGCCATTGCCATCACTTGCTCGGAGTCTTTGTGTAAAATCTTCATCTCGGCACCATGGAACATCACTTAAGCTTTGCAGCTCTTATTGATTTGCGGAATTGACAGCAGATGTTTGCTCATTCTTGGGACGTAAAGCGCGTTCTTGATATCGCGCTCTTCACCGTTTTGCGGGACCTTTCCTTGTTCCCATCTGCGACCAACGCTTCGCCTTCATTGCGCTCGTCCGGGCATTTGAACTTGTTCTTGTCATGGCAGATGTGTTGCGTCGCACCGCTGCTATTCGCCCATATCCCAGACGTATTCTTGATCGCTGAAATTACGCATTCCAGTGAAACAGCAAACACCACTCGATCGTAGTCGCAGTTGTTGTTGCTGTTGTATCCTTGCCACTGGACTTGATTCGCTCCGCGTCCAGGAGCATTGCTACCGCGTCGAGCTCCCCGATTTTCTTCCTTCTGCTTGGTCCAGCAACGTTCCACTTCTCCCCAATTTCCGCAGAACGAGCATCGACGAACCTCGCGCTCGGTACTGAAGGCCTTGGTCACTTCTTCAGTCTTCACCGCCGCAGACTTGGCACCTTGACGCTTGATGTGATCGTTCGTCAAAACGTTGACAGCGTCGCACGGTTGCAGTTTGCGCTGCTCATCTACAAGTTGATAACGACGTTCTCGTAGCTCTTGAGGAGACTGCTTCAAAAGAAGATCGCTACGTCCTCGTCCTCCATCTTGGCGCCGATGCTGCTGAGCTTCGCTCTGATGTTGAGGACTTCATTAAAATGATGCATGACATTGCCGCTTTCCGCTATCTCCATGCTGAAAAGCTGTCGCTTCAAGAAAGCTAAAGAAGTCTGCACCACAAAGTAAAGACGACTTGTTCTGTAGGAGGAATGTTTAGAAGTGATTGATTAATAGGTATCAACTCTGCCTACGCTTGGCTGCATCCAATCCCATGGTGCATTTAATCAACCTGATTTACACGCGTCCAATCCTCCTACGCGTCTAACCAACTCTGAAGTAATCACCGACATAAAAACTATTTCGTATACACTACGCTCGAATATCGGATTGTACCAGTAACCTTCAATGCGCACCCTCAATGCACACTCTCAATGCAAACATGCGTGAATGCCGAGAGCCGCCGTCATGTCTTTGTGCCGTGGTCCTAGTAGTCCCTTCGTCATGATGTCCGCCAATATATTCGTCGTCTCACAAGATTCCAGATTGACTTTCCCGCACTTAACCTCATTAAGGATGTAATGGTACTTGATTTTGATGCTCTTGGCTTTACCATGGATCACCGAGTCCTTCGTCATCTTGATGCAGGACTGGTTGTCTTCCATAACCTTGAGCTCGGACTTGTCCGCTGCGGTAGCCAGAAAATTATCGCGCAGCAAGCGATGCACCCACTTGCCTTCTTGAATGGCCAGACTTAAAGCGATATACTCGGCTTCACGTGTTGACAATTACACACTTGGTTGCTTCTTGCTACCCCAGCTTACCGGAGCACATAGGATCATGAATGCGGCTCTCTAAGTAGACTTGCGATTCACATGGTTGCCGGCCCAGTCTGCATCCGAGTAGCCGTAGAAATCCACCTTGCCGCCGAGTTTGGAGCAGATGCCGTGCAATTTGGATCCATGCAAGCGTTGCACAATACGCTTGACCGCCATCCAGTGCTCGACTTGCGGTTTCTCCATGAAGCGCGAAACATAGCTCACAGTTAAGGCAATGCCCGGTCGTGTCGCGGTCGTCAAGTGCATTAAGGCACCCACTGCTTGATGAAACAGAGCGTCGATATTGGTCGCTGCGTTACTTGGTGGAGTCGAGGGGTGATGTCCGTTAGGCTGATGACAGCTTTGCAATCGCTCATGCCGAACCGCTTCAGAACACCGTCTACGTAGCGTCGTTGGCACATCGTCACGCTGCCTTCATCCTTTACCATCTCGATACCCAACACAAAAGAACACCTGCCTCTGTCAGTCATCTCGAAATGCGACTTCAAGTCGTACGCGCAATCATTTCGGTCGAGATGCCAGTCACCAACACCTCATCGACGTAGACCAGCAAACACGCACTGTCCGCTTGCGACCTTGAAATCGATGCATGGGTAAAAGTTGGACGCTTGAAATCTGATAGAGCAGACGAGCTCATGGAAAGTTTCTTTCCACACCCGTGAAGCTTGTTCAGTCTGTAGATTGCTTTCACCATCTCGAAGCAGTCAAAGTCTTCAGTGACTTCTACACCCTCTGGGACCGCGCAAAACACTGGTCCCTTTATTTCACCATGCAGATAAGCTGTCACCACATCTAGCTGTTCCAGCGTCCAGTAAAAGTACTCGTGATCACGATCACCATGCCAAGCGTCACATACTTGACGCCTGGTGAGAACGTCTCCGTGAAGTCAATGTCATTTCTTGTCTTAAACCCTTTTGCCACGAGACGCGCCTTGTACTTTTCGATCGGTTCATCAGCCTCGCGCTTGATCTTAAACACCCACTTGGTACCAATGGTGTGCTGTCCATCTGGCAGCTTGGTCCCTCGGAACACGCCACGTAGCTTCATTGAGTCCAACTCGGCGCAAAGCGCATTACGACAATGAACTCGATCCGGACCACTACCCGCGTGTTGAAACGTTGTCAGCTCGGACAAGTCAGTACCTTTGGCTGCATTGGCACTTGCTTGCCAGAAGACTAGAGGAGAGTCATCATCGTCATCTTCATCACCGCCTTTTCGCTCTTCGTCTAGATTGGCGCGAGTTCTTTAGCGCCGTTTCGCTTGATGTGACTCAAAATCATCTGGTGCACTTGCTTCTTTCAACCCGGCTCCACTGCGATTAGGAAGTGTCCGTCGATAGACTTTTTCATGGCAGTTTGAACGGCTCTTTCGCTTTCTATTGTGCCTGAACTGCATGGTGCAAAGCTCATCACTGATGTCCATCGCGTCGAAGTCCAGCGCAGTGTCATCGACAACTTCTTGCGGCAGTGCCCGTGATAATCCAAACGTTGATTCGTCAAAGGTGACATCACGTGATATTACCACTTGATCTGCTTTAATTTCGTAAATGCGGTATACTTTCAGCACTTCTTTGTAACCCCTGAACATCAAGCCTTCGGGTCCCACTTCGATCGCTTTTCTTTGCGGTCAACACTAACGCTCTGTATTCATAAACTCGCATGTGCTTCACACTTGGCCGCAACCTTTAATGAAATTGAACGGAGTTCAGTCTTGGTAGTTGGGGAAGACTTCGATCGCTTTCTTTGGGGTCAACACGAACGCTCGGTATTCAAAAGCTCGCATGTGCTTCACACTTGGCCGCAACCTTTGATGATCTCGAACGGAGTTCAGTATTGGTACTTCGGTGAAGGCAGGCGATTCTTGACGTAGATCGCCGTCATTGCTGCCTCGGCCCAAAAACACTCGTCCAGTTTTGCGTAGTGAACCAAGCTGCGGACGATTGTCCCGATGATCCGAATCCCTTGTTTTGCTTTGCTCTTAGTCTAGTGCGCATATGGAACGGTGACCTGCTGCTCGATTCCTTGATCATTGTAGAATGCCTTGAGCGAAGTCGACGCACACTCACGCGCACCATTGTGCCGAACATATTTAACCGTGCAGTCAAACTGCATCTGGACCGCCACGATGTACTTCTTGATGCACTTTTCACTGTCGAACTTGGCGCCCAGACTGAAGCCCATCATGCATCCACTGCCTTCATCTTCTATCAGCAGCAATTACTTGGCTCCAACTAACAAGTCGGCTTCCATCGGGTCACACGTGTCGATGTGCAGAAGCTCAAACGGATCATAGTGACGCTTGTTCGGGTCGCTTGGAAGCGGTCGCTGCACCATTTCTTCTTCTTGACAACCACGACGCATGCTTGATTCGCTTGATCTTGGTGGTATCTTGACATCCTTGATCATGTTCTTGGAAACCATCCTGTACAGGACCTCAGTTGGTGCGTGGCCCATACGCGCATGATGATCTTCGTCTCATGATCGCAATGTAGCATTCACGGATCTTTGTAGTGGACGAAGCCGGTCGACCATGTCTACAAGTTCTACCATTGCCATCACTTGCTCGGAGTCTTTGTGTAAAATCTACATCTCGGCACCATGGAACATCACTTGAGCTTTGCAGCTCTTATTGATTTGCGGAAATAACAGCAGATTTTTGCTCATTATTGGGATGTAAAGCGCGTTCTTGATCTCGCGCTCTTCACCGTTTTGCGGGACCTTGCCTTGTTCCCATCTACGACCAACGCTTCGTCTTCACTGCGCTCGTCCGGAAATTTGAACTTGTTCTTGTCATGGCAGATGTGTTGCGTCGCACCGCTGCTATTCGTTCATATCCCAGACGTCTTCTTGATCGCTGAAATTACGCATTCCAGTGAAACAGCAAACACTACTCGATCGTAGTCGCAGTTGTTGTTGCTGTTGAATCCTTGCCACTGGACTTGATTCGCTCTGCGTCCAGGAGCATTGCTACCGCGTCGGGCTCCCCGATTCTCTTCCTTCTGCTTGGTCCAGCAACGTTCCACTTTCCCCAATTTCCGCAGAACGAGCATCGACGAACCTCGCGCTCGGTACTGAAGGCCTTGGTCACTTCTTCAGTCTTCACCGCCGCAGACTTGGCACCTTGACGCTTGATATGATCGTTCGTCAACACATTGACAGCGTCGCGCAGTTGCAGTTTGCGCTGCTCATCTACAAGTTGAGACCGACGTTCTCGCAGCTCTTGGAAAAACTGCTTCACAAGAAGATCGCTACGTCCTCGTCCTCCATCTTGGCGCCGATGCTGCTGAGCTTCGCGCTGAAGTTGAGGACTTCATTACAATGATGCATGGCATTGTCGCCTTCCGCCATCTCCATGCTGAACAGCTATCGCTTCAAGGAGGTCCATAGACCGCCTTCTGCGACCTACCATACAGTGTCTTCAAACGCACCCACGCGACCCATGCTATTTTGCTTTCATCAACCATATGATGGAAGTCGGCGTTCATGTGCAGTAACATCAGTCCTAGCGAACTGTTTTTCGTCTTGATATAATCGTCACTGTCGCGAGGATTCGAGAAGTTTGGCGTCGTCTCTCGGTTGACCACATGCCACGTCGACTTGGTCTAGGACACGCCACACATGTAGCGGCTCCACGTCGCGAACTTGTCCCCATCAAATTTGTCGATGGAGATCCTGGTGATGGAACCTTGTGCAGAGGACATCTTGCTTGGGCACATAACCTAATAAAGTCTGACGAGTGCTGGGCGAGGATACAAAGCTTGAAAAAAGCTAAAGAAGTCTACACCACAAAGTAAAGATGACTCGTGCTGTAGGAGGAATGTTTAGAAGTGATTGATTTATAGGTATCAACTCTGCCTACGCTTGACTGTATCCAATCCCATGGTGTATTTAATCAACCTGATTTACACGCGTCCAATCATCCTACGCGTCTAACCAACTCTGAAGTAATCACCGACATAAAAACTATTTCGTATACACTACGCTCATATATCGGATTGTACCAGTAACCTTCAATGCGCACCCTCAATACACATTCTCAATGCAAACATGCGTGAATGTCGAGAGCCGCCGTCATGTCTTTGTGGCGTGGTTCTAGTAGTCCCTTCGTCATGCTGTCCGCCAATATATTCGTCGTCTCACATGATTCCAGCCTGACTTCCCCTCGCTTAACCTCATTAAGGATGTAATGGTACTTGATTTTGATGTGCTTGGATTGTCCATGGTTCACCGGGTTCGTCGTCATCTTGATGCAGGACTGGTTGTCTTCCATAACCTTGAGCTCGGACTCGGACTTGTCCGCTGCGGTAGCCAGAAAATTTTCGCGCAGCAAGCAATGCACCCACTTGCCTTCTTGAATTGCCAGACTTAGAGCGATATACTCGGCTTCACTTGTTGACAATTACACACTTGGTTGCTTCTTGCTACCCCAGCTCACCGGAGCACATAGGATCATGAATGCGTCTCTCTAAGTAGACTTGCGATTCACATGGTTGCCGGCCCAGTATGCATCCGAGTAGCCGTAGAAATCCATCTTGTCGTCGAGTTTGAAGCAGATGCCGTGCGATTTGGATCCATGCAAGTATCGCACAATACGCTTGACCGACATCCAGTGCTCGACTTGCGGTTTATCCATGAAGCGCGAAACATAGCTCACAGTAAAGGCAATGTCCGGTCGTGTCGCGGTCGTCAAGTGCAATAAGGCACCCACTGCTTGATGAAACGGAGCGTCGATATTGGTCGCTGCGTTACTTGGTGGAGTCGAGGGGTGATGTCCGTTGGGCTGATGACAGCTTTGCAATCGCTCATGCCGAATCGCTTCAGAGCATCGTCAACGTAGCGTCGCTGGCACATCGTCACGCTGACTTTATCCTTTACCATCTCGATACCCAACACAAAAGAACACCTGCCTCTGTCAGTCATCTCGAAATGCGACTTCAAGTCGTACGCGCAATCATTTCGGTCGAGATGCCAGTCACCAACACATCATCGACGTAGACCATCAAACACGCACTGTCCGCTTGCGACCTTGAAATCGATGCATGGGTCAAAGTCGGACGCTTGAAGTCTGATAGAGCAGACGAGCTCATGGAAAATTTCTTTCCATACCCGTGAAGCTTGTTCAGCCTGTAGATTGCTTTAACCATCTCGAAGCAGTCAAAGTCTTCAGTGACTTCTACACCCTCTGGGACCGCGCAAAACACTGGTCCCTTTATTTCACCGTGCAGATCAGTAGTCACCACATCTAGCTGTTCCAGCGTCCAGTAAAAGTACTCGTGATCACTATCACCATGCGAAGCGTCACATACTTGACGCCTGGCGAGAACGTCTCCGTGAAGTCAATGTCATTTCTTGTCTTAAACCCTTTTGCCACGAGACGCGCCTTGTACGTTTCGATCGGTTCATCAGCCTCGCGCTCGATCTTAAACACCCACTTGGTACCAATGGTGTGCTGTCCCGCTGGCAGCTTGGTCCCTCGGAACACACCACGTAGCTTCATTGAGTCCAACTCGGCGCGAATCGCATTACGACAATGAACTCGATCCGGACCACTACCCGCGTGTTGAAACGTTGTCAGCTCGGACAAGTCAGTACCTTTGGCTGCATTGGCACTTGCTTGCCAGAAGACTAGAGGAGAGTCATCATCGTCATCTTCATCACCGCCTTTTCGCTCTTCGTCTAGATTGGCGCGAGTTCTTTAGCGCCGTTTCGCTTGATGTGACTCAAAATCATCTGGTGCACTTGCTTCTTTCAACCCGGCTCCACTGCGATTAGGAAGTGTCCGTCAACAACTTTTTCATGGCAGTTTGAACGGCTCTTTCGCTTTATATTGTGCCTGAACTGCATGGTGCAAAGCTCATCACTGATGTCCATCGCGTCGAAGTCCAGCGCAGTGTCATCGACAACTTCTTGCGGCAGTGCCCGTGATAATCAAAACTTTGATTCGTCAAAGGTGACATCACGCGATATTACCACTTGATCTGCTTTAATTTCGTAAATGCGGTATACTTTCAACACTTCTTTGTAACCCATGAACATCAAGCCTTCGGGTCCCACTTCGATCACTTTTCTTTGGGATCAACACGAACGCTCGGTATTCATAAACTCGCATGTGCTTCACACTTGGTCGCAACCTTTAATGAAATTGAACGGAGTTCAGTCTTGGTAATGGGGGAAGACTTCAATCGCTTTTATTTGGGGTCAACACGAACGCTCGGTATTCAAAAGCTCGCATGTGCTTCACACTTGGCCGCAACCTTTGATGATCTCGAACGGAGTTCAGTATTGGTACTTCGGTGAAGGCAGGCGATTCTTGACGTAGATCGCCGTCATTGCTGCCTCGGCCCAAAAACACTCGTCCAGTTTTTGCGTAGTGAACCAAGCTGCGGACGATTCTCCCGATGATCCGAATCCCTTGTTTTGCTTTGCCCTTAGTCTAGTGCGCATATGGAACGGTGACCTGCTGCTCGATTCCTTGATCATCGTAGAATGCCTTGAGCGAAGTCGACGCACACTCACGTGCACCATTGTGCCGAACATATTTAACCGTGCAGTCAAACTGCATCTGGACCGCCACGATGTACTTCTTGATGCACGTTTCACTGTCGAACTTGGCGCCCAGACTGAAGCCCATCATGCATCCACTGCCTTCATCTTCTATCAGCAGCAATTACTTGGCTCCAACTAACAAGTCGGCTTCCATCGGGTCACACGTGTCGATGTGCAGAAGCTCAAACGGATCATAGTGACGCTTGTTCGGGTCGCTTGGAAGCGGTCGCTGCACCATTTCTTCTTCTTGACAACCACGACGCATGCTTGATTCGCTTGATCTTGGTGGTATCTTGACATCCTTGATCATGTTCTTGGAAACCATCCTGTACAGGACCTCAGTTGGTGCGTGGCCCATACGCGCATGATGATCTTCGTCTCATGATCGCAATGTAGCATTCACGGATCTTTGCAGTGGACGAAGCCGGTCGACCATGTCTACAAGTTCTACCATTGCCATCACTTGCTCGGAGTCTTTGTGTAAAATCTTCATCTCGGCACCATGGAACATCACTTGAGCTTTGCAGCTCTTATTGATTTGCGGAATTGACAGCAGATTTTTGCTCATTCTTGGGACGTAAAGCGCGTTCTTGATATCGCGCTCTTCACCGTTTTGCGGGACCTTTCCTTGTTCTCATCTGCGACCAACGCTTCGCCTTCATTGCGCTCGTCCGGGCGTTTGAACTTGTTCTTGTCATGGCAGATGTGTTGCGTCGCACCGCTGCTATTCGCCCACATCTCAGACGTATTCTTGATCGCTGAAATTACGCATTCCAGTGAAACAGCAAACACTACTCGATCGTAGTCGCAGTTGTTGTTGCTGTTGTATCCTTGCCACTGGACTTGATTCGCTCCGCGTCCAGGAGCATTGCTACCGCGTCAAACTCCCCGATTTTATTCCTTCTGCTTGGTCCAGCAACGTTCCACTTCTCCCCAATTTCCGCAGAACGAGCATCGACGAACCTCGCGCTCGGTACTGAAGGCCTTGGTCACTTCTTCAGTCTTCACCGCCGCAGACTTGGCACCTTGACGCTTGATGTGATCGTTCGTCAAAACGTTGACAGCGTCGCGCGGTTGCAGTTTGCGCTGCTCATCTACAAGTTGAGACCGACGTTCTCGTAGCTATTGAGGAGATTGCTTCAAAAGAAGATCGCTACGTCCTCGTCCTCCATCTTGGCGCTGATGCTGCTGAGCTTCGCTCTGATGTTGAGGACTTCATTAAAATGATGCATGACATTGCCGCTTTCCGCCATCTCCATGCTGAACAGCTATCGCTTCAAGGAGGTCCATAGACCGCCTTCTGCGACCTACCATACAGTGTCTTCAAACGCACCCACGCGACCCATGCTATTTTGCTTTCATCAACCATATGATGGAAGTCGGCGTTCATGTGCAGTAACATCAGTCCGAGCGAACTGTTTTTCGTCTTGATATAATCGTCACTGTCGCGGGGATTCAAGAAGTTTGGCGTCGTCTCTCGGTTGACCACATGCCACGTCGACTTGGTCTGGGACACGCCGCACATGTAGCGGCTCCACGTCGCGAACTTGTCCCCATCAAATTTGTCGATGGAGATCCTGGTAATGGAACCTTGTGCAGAGGACATCTTGCTTGGGCACATAACCTAATAAAGTCTGACGAGGTGGGGAGGATACAAAGCTGAAATGAAAGAAGTCTACACCACAAAGTAAAGATGACTTGTGCTGTAGGAGGAATGTTTAGAAGTGATTGATTTATAGGTATCAACTCTGCCTACGCTTGACTGTATCCAATCCCATGGTGTATTTAATCAACCTGATTTACACGCGTCCAATCATCCTACGCGTCTAACCAACTCTGAAGTAATCACCGACATAAAAACTATTTCGTATACACTACGCTCATATATCGGATTGTACCAGTAACCTTCAATGCGCACCCTCAATACACATTCTCAATGCAAACATGCGTGAATGTCGAGAGCCGCCGTCATGTCTTTGTGGCGTGGTTCTAGTAGTCCCTTCGTCATGCTGTCCGCCAATATATTCGTCGTCTCACAAGGTTTCAGCTTGACTTCCCCGCGCTTAACCTCATTAAGGATGTAATGGTACTTGATTTTGATGTTCTTGGCTTTACCATGGATCACCGAGTCCTTCGTCATCTTGATGCAGGACTGGTTGTCTTCCATAACCTTGAGCTCGGACTCGGACTTGTCCGCTGCGGTAGCCAGAAACTTTTCACGCAGCAAGCAATGCACCCACTTGCCTTCTTGAATTGCCAGACTTAGAGCGATATACTCGGCTTCACGTGTTGACAATTACACACTTGATTGCTTCTTGCTACCCCAGCTCACCGGAGCACATAGGATCATGAATGCGTCTCTCTAAGTAGACTTGCGATTCACATGGTTGCCGGCCCAGTTTGCATCCGAGTAGCCGTAGAAATCCATCTTGTCGTCGAGTTTGAAGCAGATGCCGTGCGATTTGGATCCATGCAAGTATCGCACAATACGCTTGACCGACATCCAGTGCTCGACTTGCGGTTTATCCATGAAGCGCGAAACATAGATCACAGTAAAGGCAATGCCCGGTCGTGTCGCGGTCGTCATGAAACGGAGCGTCGGTATTGGTCGCTGCGTTACTTGGTGGAGTTGAGGGGTGATGTCCGTTGGGCTGATGACAGCTTTGCAATCCCTCATGCCGAACCGCTTCAGAACACCGTCTACGTAGCGTCGTTGGCACATCGTCACGCTGCCTTCATCCTTTACCATCTCGATACCCAACACAAAAGAACACTTGCCTCTGTCAGTCATCTCGAAATGCGACTTCAAGTCGTACGCGCAATCATTTCGGTCGAGATGCCAGTCACCAACACATCATCGACGTAGACCAGCAAAACACGCACTGTCCGCTTGCGACCTTGAAATCGATGCATGGGTCAAAGTCGGATGCTTGAAGTCTGATAGAGCAGACGAGCTCATGGAAAATTTCTTTCCATACCCGTGAAGCTTGTTCAGCCTGTAGATTGCTTTCACCATCTCGAAGCAGTCAAAGTTTACATTGACTTCTACACCCTCTGGGACCGCGCAAAACACTGGTCCCTTTATTTCACCGTGCAGATCAGTAGTCACCACATCTAGCTGTTCCAGCGTCCAGTAAAAGTACTCGTGGTCACGATCACCATGCCAAGTGTCACATACTTGACGCCTGGTGAGAACGTCTCCGTGGAGTCAATATCATTTCTTGTCTTAAACCCTTTTGCCACGAGACGCTCCTTGTACGTTTCGATCGGTTCATCAGCCTCGCGCTTGATCTTAAACACCCACTTGGTACCAATGGTGTGCTGTCCCGCTGGCAGCTTGGTCCCTCGGAACACACCACGTAGCTTCATTGAGTCCAACTCGCGCGAATCGCATTACGACAATGAACCCGATCCGGACCACTACCCGCGTGTTGAAACGTTGTCGGCTCGGACAAGTCAGTACCTTTGGCTGCATTGGCACTTGCTTACCAGAAGACTAGAGGAGAGTCATCATCGTCATCTTCATCACCGCCTTTTCGCTCTTCGTCTAGATTGGCGCGAGTTCTTTAGCGCCGTTTCGCTTGATGTGACTCAAAATCATCTGGTGCACTTGCTTCTTTCAACCCGGCTCCACTCCGATTAGGAAGTGTCCGTCAACAACTTTTTCATGGCAGTTTGAACGGCTCTTTCGCTTTATATTGTGCCTGAACTGCATGGTGCAAAGCTCATCATTGATGTCCATCGCGTCGAAGTCCAGCGCAGTGTCATCGACAACTTCTTGCGGCAGTGCCCGTGATAATCCAAACGTTGATTCGTCAAAGGTGACATCACGCGATATTACCACTTGATCTGCTTTAATTTCGTAAATGCGGTATACTTTCAACACTTCTTTGTAACCCATGAACATCAAGCCTTCGGGTCCCACTTCGATCACTTTTCTTTGGGATCAACACGAACGCTCGGTATTCATAAACTCGCATGTGCTTCACACTTGGTCGCAACCTTTAATGAAATTGAACGGAGTTCAGTCTTGGTAATGGGGGAAGACTTCGATCGCTTTTCTTTGGGGTTGTTGCATGGTGTGAAGCTTGACGACCGAAACTGGCAGGGATGCTGGGAGTCCACTCGGAAGACCGGAAAAGACACTTGAGGGGTAGATGGAAGTTTGGAAAGTCATTGATTCATAGGTCTTAACTCTGCCTACCCTAGACTGCATCCAATCACATGGTGCATCTAATCAACCTGATTTACACACGTCTAATCATCCTACTCGTCCAATTATCGCTGAGGTAATTACCGACGTAAAAACTATCCCGTAAAAACTACGCTTAAGTTCGGATTGTATCGGTAACCCTCAATACGCACCCTCAATCCGAACTCGCACGAATGCCGAGAGCCGTCGTCAAGTCCTTGTGGCGAGGTCCCGAAAGTCCCTTGGTCATGATGTCCGCCATCATCACGGAAGTCTCGCAATACTCGAGCTGCACTTCACCGCGCTTGACCTCATCACGGATGTGATGGTACTTGATGTCGATGTGCTTGGCGCGGCCATGATTCTCCGGATTCTTCGTCATCTTGATGCACGACTGGTTGTCCTCACGGATGACGAGATCCGGTCCTGGTTCGTTTGCGGCCGCCAAAATCTCGCATAGCAGACGATGCACCCACTTGCCTTCCTGGATGGCCAGACTCAGTGCAATGTATTCCGCTTCACTCGTCGACAGCGACACACTTGACTGCTTCTTGCCTTCCCAACTCACAGGGGCACCCATCAGCATGAAAGTGTAACCCGAAGTCGACTTGCGATCAGCGTGGTCGCCGGCCCAGTCCGCGTCCTAGTAGCCACGAAAGTCGATCTTGTCGCTTGGCTGGAAGCGGAGTCCGTGCGACTTGGTCCCTTGCAAGTAACGAAAGATTCGCTTCACCGCCGTCCAATGTTCTTGCTGCGGATTCTCCATGAAGCGCGAGACATACCCCACAGCATACGCAATGTCCGGGCGCGTCGCAGTCGTCAAGTGCATCAAAGCTCACACAGCTTCACGAAGCGGAACGTCGATCTTGGCCGCTTCGCTGCTTGCGACAAGCCGAGTGCTCAAATCGACCGGACTTGCTGTGGCCTTGCACTCATCCATGCCGAAGCGCTTGAGGATGTCGTTGACATACCGTCGCTGGCACATCGTCACGCTGCCATCCGATTCGTCCACCAGTTCGATGCCCAGTACAAAAGTACACTTGCCACTGTCGGTCATCTCGAAACGCGTCTTGAGGTCGGCCTTCGTCTGCGCAATCAACTCGAGCGAGCTGCCGGTGACCAACACGTCATCCACGTAGACCAGCACGAGCACACAGTGACCGTCGACAACCTTGATGAAGAGACATGGGTCGAACGCCGACACTTCGGAACCGATAAAGCATACGAACTCGTCGAAAGTCTCGTTCCACACACGTGAAGCTTGCTTGAGACCGTAGATCGCCTTCACCAACTCGAGACAGTCGAAGTCGCCATCCATCTCGACGCCTTCTGGTATCACGCAGTACAACTTCTCCTTCATCACTCCGTAGAGAAAGGCTGTCACCACATCGAGTTTGTCCAGTAGCCAGTCGAGATACTTGGTGATCGCGATCACCATACGCAGTGTCACGTACTTGACCACGGGCTGTTTCGTTGTCTGCAAGATTGACGTCTAATGAAGACAGTCTGTTGTCTTGTTCTTCTCATTCGGTCCCGTGATCTCTTCTCATCGCGATCTCTGTTTCGATCTCACGATCGTTATCCTTCGACGATAGATTTGTTTCATTGAGTGGATTCGATCCGACTCCGTTGACCGTTCATTTCGACGACCCAGAATCCACTAGCCATGTCTAGCGAACAGTACCATAGAGCTTTATCCAGATCTTCCAGCAGATCGCTGATCAACGGCATGGGATAAACCATCAGTCGCGTCAGCTGGTTCACTCTTCGATAATCAATGCAAAGGCGAATATCCACTCCGTTCTTCTTGATGATCACCACTATCGGAGACGCCCAAGTTGACGTGGATGGCTGAACGATCTTGTCTGCCAACAGTCCTTTGATGAGATCTGACAGCTTCTCCCGATGTTTGGGTGCGACCGGACGGACTCTTTGCGCAATTGGTGCGGCTCCACCGACATCGATATCACAAATCGTCCATCGTGCCGCTGGTGGTAGAGCATTGCCCTTCCCCATAAGAAGGTGACGGCTCCTCCAAATCAGCGATCTGAGTCTTTGTTGATCTGCGGTGAGAGGAACGTCCGGATCGCCGATCTGAATGTCGTTAATTGTCACTTCCTCCGTAGCAGTGGACATCTCTGGTAACACCGTCAGGTGTTGCTCGATGTCGTCGGCAAACAAATCTCCACTCTCGTGATAGTAGACTGGTGCTTCTGCGGAGTCAGCTTCGTCGATCTTAGACGGCTTGTCCTCTTCAGATCTTTGCGTCGCCTCGGACCGATCCATTCCTGTTCTGTTGTCTGCAAGATTGACGTCTAATGAAGACAGTCTGTTGTCTTGTTCTTCTCATTCGGTCCCGTGATCTCTTCTCATCGCGATCTCGGTTTCGATCTCACGATCGTTATCCTTCGACGATAGATTTGTTTCATTGAGTGGATTCGATCCGACTCCGTTGACCGTTCATTTCGACGACCCAGAATCCACTAGCCATGTCTAGCGAACAGTACCATAGAGCTTTATCCAGATCTTCCAGCAGATCGCTGATCAACGGCATGGGATAAACCATCAGTCGCGTCAGCTGGTTCACTCTTCGATAATCAATGCAAAGGCGAATATCCACTCCGTTCTTCTTGATGATCACCACTATCGGAGACGCCCAAGTTGACGTGGATGGCTGAACGATCTTGTCTGCCAACAGTCCTTTGATGAGATCTGACAGCTTCTCCCGATGTTTGGGTGCGACCGGACGGACTCTTTGCGCAATTGGTGCGGCTCCACCGACATCGATATCACAAATCGTCCATCGTGCCGCTGGTGGTAGAGCATTGCCCTTCCCCATAAGAAGGTGACGGCTCCTCCAAATCAGCGATCTGAGTCTTTGTTGATCTGCGGTGAGAGGAACGTCCGGATCGCCGATCTGAATGTCGTTAATTGTCACTTCCTCCGTAGCAGTGGACATCTCTGGTAACACCGTCAGGTGTTGCTCGATGTCTTCGGCAAACAAATCTCCACTCTCGTGATAGTAGACTGGTGCTTCTGCGGAGTCAGCTTCGTCGATCTTAGACGGCTTGTCCTCTTCAGATCTTTGCGTCGCCTCGGACCGATCCATTCCTGTTCTGTTGTCTGCAAGATTGACGTCTAATGAAGACAGTCTGTTGTCTTGTTCTTCTCGTTCGGTCCCGTGATCTCTTCTCATCGCGATCTCTGTTTCGATCTCACGATCGTTATCCTTCGACGATAGATTTGTTTCATTGAGTGGATTCGATCCGACTCCGTTGACCGTTCATTTCGACGACCCAAAATCCACTAGCCATGTCTAGCGAACAGTACCATAGAGCTTTATCCAGATCTTCCAGCAGATCGCTGATCAACGGCATGGGATAAACCATCAGTCGCGTCAGCTGGTTCACTCTTCGATAATCTATGCAAAGGCGAATATCCACTCCGTTCTTCTTGATGATCACCACTATCGGAGACGCCCAAGTTGACGTGGATGGCTGAACGATCTTGTCTGCCAACAGTCCTTTGATGAGATCTGACAGCTTCTCCCGATATTTGGGTGCGACCGGACGGACTCTTTGCGCAATTGGTGCGGCTCCACCGACATCGATATCACAAATCGTCCATCGTGCCGCTGGTGGTAGAGCATTGCCCTTCCCCATAAGAAGGTGACGGCTCCTCCAAATCAGCGATCTGAGTCTTTGTTGATCTGCGGTGAGAGGAACGTCCGGATCGCCGATCTGAATGTCGTTAATTGTCACTTCTTCCGTAGCAGTGGACATATCTGGTAACACCGCCAGGTGTTGCTCGATGTCTTCGGCAAACAAATCTCCACTCTCGTGATAGTAGACTGGTGCTTCTGCGGAGTCAGCTTCGTCGATCTTAGACGGCTTGTCCTCTTTAGATCTTTGCGTCGCCTCGGACCGATCCATTCCTGTTCTGTTGTCTGCAAGATTGACGTCTAATGAAGACAGTCTGTTGTCTTGCTCTTCTCGTTCGGTCCCGTGATCTCTTCTCATCGCGATCTCTGTTTCGATCTCACGATCGTTATCCTTCGACGATAGATTTGTTTCATTGAGAGGATTCGATCCGACTCCGTTGACCGTTCATTTCGACGACCCAGAATCCACTAGCCATGTCTAGCGAACAGTACCATAGAGCTTTATCCAGATCTTCCAGCAGATCGCTGATCAACGGCATGGGATAAACCATCAGTAGCGTCAGCTGGTTCACTCTTCGATAATCAATGCAAAGGCGAATATCCACTCCGTTCTTCTTGATGATCACCACTATCGGAGACGCCCAAGTTGACGTGGATGGCTGAACGATCTTGTCTGCCAACAGTCCTTTGATGAGATCTGACAGCTTCTCCCGATGTTCGGGTGCGACCGGACGGACTCTTTGCGCAATTGGTGCGGCTCCACCGACATCGATATCACAAATCGTCCATCGTGCCGCTGGTGGTAGAGCATTGCCCTTCCCCATAAGAAGGTGACGGCTCCTCCAAATCAGCGATCTGAGTCTTTGTTGATCTGCGGTGAGAGGAACGTCCGGATCGCCGATCTGAATGTCGTTAATTGTCACTTCTTCCGTAGCAGTGGACATATCTGGTAACACCGCCAGGTGTTGCTCGATGTCTTCGGCAAACAAATCTCCACTCTCGTGATAGTAGACTGGTGCTTCTGCGGAGTCAGCTTCGTCGATCTTAGACGGCTTGTCCTCTTTAGATCTTTGCGTCGCCTCGGACCGATCCATTCCTGTTCTGTTGTCTGCAAGATTGACGTCTAATGAAGACAGTCTGTTGTCTTGCTCTTCTCGTTCGGTCCCGTGATCTCTTCTCATCGCGATCTCTGTTTCGATCTCACGATCGTTATCCTTCGACGATAGATTTGTTTCATTGAGAGGATTCGATCCGACTCCGTTGACCGTTCATTTCGACGACCCAGAATCCACTAGCCATGTCTAGCGAACAGTACCATAGAGCTTTATCCAGATCTTCCAGCAGATCGCTGATCAACGGCATGGGATAAACCATCAGTCGCGTCATCTGGTTCACTCTTCGATAATCAATGCAAAGGCTAACATCCACTCCGTTCTTCTTGATGATCACCACTATCGGAGACGCCCAAGTTGACGTGGATGGCTGAACGATCTTGTCTGCCAACAGTCCTTTGATGAGATCTGACAGCTTCTCCCGATGTTTGGGTGCGACCGGACGGACTCTTTGCGCAATTGGTGCGGCTCCACCGACATCGATATCACAAATCGTCCATCGTGCCGCTGGTGGTAGAGCATTGCCCTTCCCCATAAGAAGGTGACGGCTCCTCCAAATCAGCGATCTGAGTCTTTGTTGATCTGCGGTGAGAGGAACGTCCGGATCGCCGATCTGAATGTCGTTAATTGTCACTTCCTCCGTAGCAGTGGACATCTCTGGTAACACCGTCAGGTGTTGCTCGATGTCGTCGGCAAACAAATCTCCACTCTCGTGATAGTAGACTGGTGCTTCTGCGGAGTCAGCTTCGTCGATCTTAGACGGCTTGTCCTCTTCAGATCTTTGCGTCGCCTCGGACCGATCCATTCCTGTTCTGTTGTCTGCAAGATTGACGTCTAATGAAGACAGTCTGTTGTCTTGTTCTTCTCGTTCGGTCCCGTGATCTCTTCTCATCGCGATCTCTGTTTCGATCTCACGATCGTTATCCTTCGACGATAGATTTGTTTCATTGAGTGGATTCGATCCGACTCCGTTGACCGTTCATTTCAACGACCCAGAATCCACTAGCCATGTCTAGCGAACAGTACCATAGAGCTTTATCCAGATCTTCCAGCAGATCGCTGATCAACGGCATGGGATAAACCATCAGTCGCGTCAGCTGGTTCACTCTTCGATAATCAATGCAAAGGCGAATATCCACTCCGTTCTTCTTGATGATCACCACTATCGGAGACGCCCAAGTTGACGTGGATGGCTGAATGATCTTGTCTGCCAACAGTCCTTTGATGATATCTGACAGCTTCTCCCGATATTTGGGTGCGACTGGACGGACTCTTTGCGCAATTGGTGCGGCTCCACCGACATCGATATCACAAATCGTCTATCGTGCCGCTGGTGGTAGAGCATTGCCCTTCCCCATAAGAAGGTGACGGCTCCTCCAAATTAGCGATCTGAGTCTTTGTTGATCTGCGGTGAGAGGAACGTCCGGATCGCCGATCTGAATGTCGTTAATTGTCACTTCGTCCGTAGCAGTGGACATATCTGGTAACACCGCCAGGTGTTGCTCGATGTCTTCGGCAAACAAATCTCCACTCTCGTGATAGTAGACTGGTGCTTCTGCGGAGTCAGCTTCGTCGATCTTAGACGGCTTGTCCTCTTCAGATCTTTGCGTCGCCTCGGACCGATCCATTCCTGTTCTGTTGTCTGCAAGATTGACGTCTAATGAAGACAGTCTGTTGTCTTGTTCTTCTCGTTCGGTCCCGTGATCTCTTCTCATCGCGATCTCTGTTTCGATCTCACGATCGTTATCCTTCGACGATAGATTTGTTTCATTGAGAGGATTCGATCCGACTCCGTTGACCGTTCATTTCGACGACCCAGAATCCACTAGCCATGTCTAGCGAACAGTACCATAGAGCTTTATCCAGATCTTCCAGCAGATCGCTGATCAACGGCATGGGATAAACCATCAGTCGCGTCAGCTGGTTCACTCTTCGATAATCAATGCAAAGGCGAATATCCACTCCGTTCTTCTTGATGATCACCACTATCGGAGACGCCCAAGTTGACGTGGATGGCTGAACGATCTTGTCTGCCAACAGTCCTTTGATGAGATCTGACAGCTTCTCCCGATATTTGGGTGCAACCGGACGGACTCTTTGCGCAATTGGTGCGGCTCCACCGACATCGATATCACAAATCGTCCATCGTGCCGCTGGTGGTAGAGCATTGCCCTTCCCCATAAGAAGGTGACGGCTCCTCCAAATCAGCGATCTGAGTCTTTGTTGATCTGCGGTGAGAGGAACGTCCGGATCGCCGATCTGAATGTCGTTAATTGTCACTTCGTCCGTAGCAGTGGACATATCTGGTAACACCGCCAGGTGTTGCTCGATGTCTTCGGCAAACAAATCTCCACTCTCGTGATAGTAGACTGGTGCTTCTGCGGAGTCAGCTTCGTCGATCTTAGACGGCTTGTCCTCTTTAGATCTTTGCGTCGCCTCGGACCGATCCATTCCTGTTCTGTTGTATGCAAGATTGACGTCTAATGAAGACAGTCTGTTGTCTTGTTCTTCTCATTCGGTCCCGTGATCTCTTCTCACCGCGATCTCTGTTTCGATCTCACGATCGTTATCCTTCGACGATAGATTTGTTTCATTGAGTGGATTCGATCCGACTCCGTTGACCATTCATTTCAACGACCCAGAATCCACTAGCCATGTCTAGCGAACAGTACCATAGAGCTTTATCCAGATCTTCCAGCAGATCGCTGATCAACGGCATGGGATAAACCATCAGTCGCGTCAGCTGGTTCACTCTTCGATAATCAATGCAAAGGCGAATATCCACTCCGTTCTTCTTGATGATCACCACTATCGGAGACGCCCAAGTTGACGTGGATGGCTGAACGATCTTGTCTGCCAACAGTCCTTTGATGAGATCTGACAGCTTCTCCCGATATTTGGGTGCGACTGGACGGACTCTTTGCGCAATTGGTGCGGCTCCACCGACATCGATATCACAAATCGTCTATCGTGCCGCTGGTGGTAGAGCATTGCCCTTCCCCATAAGAAGGTGACGGCTCCTCCAAATCAGCGATCTGAGTCTTTGTTGATCTGCGGTGAGAGGAACGTCCGGATCGCCGATCTGAATGTCGTTAATTGTCACTTCTTCCGTAGCAGTGGACATCTCTGGTAACACCGCCAGGTGTTGCTCGATGTCTTCGGCAAACAAATCTTCACTCTCGTGATAGTAGACTGGTGCTTCTGCGGAGTCAGCTTCGTCGATCTTAGACGGCTTGTCCTCTTTAGATCTTTGCGTCGCCTCGGACCGATCCATTCCTGTTCTGTTGTCTGCAAGATTGACGTCTAATGAAGACAGTCTGTTGTCTTGTTCTTCTCATTCGGTCCCGTGATCTCTTCTCATCGCGATCTCTGTTTCGATCTCACGATCGTTATCCTTCGACGATAGATTTGTTTCATTGAGTGGATTGATCCGACTCCGTTGACCGTTCATTTCGACGACCCAGAATCCACTAGCCATGTCTAGCGAACAGTACCATAAAGCTTTGTCCAGATCTTCCAGCAGATCGCTGACCAACGGCATGGGATAAACCATCAGTCGCGTCATCTGGTTCACTCTTCGATAATCAATGCAAAGGCAAATATCCACTCCGTTCTTCTTGATGATCACCACTATCGGAGACGCCCAAGTTGACGTGGATGGCTGAACGATCTTGTCTGCCAACAGTCCTTTGATGAGATCTGACAGCTTCTCCCGATATTTGGGTGCAACCGGACGGACTCTTTGCGCAATTGGTGCGGCTCCACCGACATCGATATCACAAATCGTCCATCGTGCCGCTGGTGGTAGAGCATTGCCCTTCCCCATAAGAAGGTGACGGCTCCTCCAAATCAGCGATCTGAGTCTTTGTTGATCTGCGGTGAGAGGAACGTCCGGATCGCCGATCTGAATGTCGTTAATTGTCACTTCTTCCGTAGCAGTGGACATATCTGGTAACACCGCCAGGTGTTGCTCGATGTCGTCGGCAAACAAATCTCCCATCTCGTGATAGTAGACTGGTGCTTCTGCGGAGTCAGCTTCGTCGATCTTAGACGGCTTGTCCTCTTTAGATCTTTGCGTCGCCTCGGACCGATCCATTCCTGTTCTGTTGTATGCAAGATTGACGTTTAATGAAGACAGTCTGTTGTCTTGTTCTTCTCATTCGGTCCCGTGATCTCTTCTCATCGCGATCTCTGTTTCGATCTCACGATCGTTATCCTTCGACGATAGATTTGTTTCATTGAGTGGATTCGATCCGACTCCGTTGACCGTTCATTTCGACGACCCAGAATCCACTAGCCATGTCTAGCGAACAGTACCATAGAGCTTTATCCAGATCTTCCAGCAGATCGCTGATCAAAGGCATGGGATGAACCATCAGTCGCGTCAGCTGGTTCACTCTTCGATAATCAATGCAAAGGCGAATATCCACTCCGTTCTTCTTGATGATCGCCACTATCGGAGACGCCCAAGCTGACGTGGATGGCTGAACGATCTTGTCTGCCAACAGTCCTTTGATGAGATCTGACAGCTTCTCCCGATGTTCGGGTGCGACCGGACGGACTCTTTGCGCAATTGGTGCGGTCCACCGACATCGATATCACAAATCGTCCATCGTGCCGCTGGTGGTAGAGCATTGCCCTTCCCCATAAGAAGGTGACGGCTCCTCCAAATCAGCGATCTGAGTCTTTGTTGATCTGCGGTGAGAGGAACGTCCGGATCGCCGATCTGAATGTCGTTAATTGTCACTTCTTCCGTAGCAGTGGACATCTCTGGTAACACCGCCAGGTGTTGCTCGATGTCTTCGGCAAACAAACCTTCACTCTCGTGATAGTAGACTGGTGCTTCTGCGGAGTCAGCTTCGTCGATCTTAGACGGCTTGTCCTCTTTAGATCTTTGCGTCGCCTCGGACCGATCCATTCCTGTTCTGTTGTCTGCAAGATTGACGTCTAATGAAGACAGTCTGTTGTCTTGTTCTTCTCGTTCGGTCCCGTGATCTCTTCTCATCGCGATCTCGGTTTCGATCTCACGATCGTTATCCTTCGACGATAGATTTGTTTCATCGAGTGGATTCGATCCGACTCCGTTGACCGTTCATTTCGACGACCCAGAATCCACTAGCCATGTCTAGCGAACAGTACCATAGAGCTTTATCCAGATCTTCCAGCAGATCGCTGATCAACGGCATGGGGTAAACCATCAGTCACGTCAGCTGGTTCACTCTTCGATAATCAATGCAAAGGCTAACATCCACTCCGTCCTTCTTGATGATCACCACTATCGGAGACGCCCAAGTTGACGTGGATGGCTGAACGATCTTGTCTGCCAACAGTCCTTTGATGAGATCTGACAGCTTCTCCCGATGTTCGGGTGCGACCGGACGGACTCTTTGCGCAATTGGTGCGGCTCCACCGACATCGATATCACAAATCGTCCATCGTGCCGCTGGTGGTAGAGCATTGCCCTTCCCCATAAGAAGGTGACGGCTCCTCCAAATCAGCGATCTGAGTCTTTGTTGATCTGCGGTGAGAGGAACGTCCGGATCGCCGATCTGAATGTCGTTAATTGTCACTTCTTCCGTAGCAGTGGACATCTCTGGTAACACCGCCAGGTGTTGCTCGATGTCTTCGGCAAACAAACCTTCACTCTCGTGATAGTAGACTGGTGCTTCTGCGGAGTCAGCTTCGTCGATCTTAGACGGCTTGTCCTCTTTAGATCTTTGCGTCGCCTCGGACCGATCCATTCCTGTTCTGTTGTCTGCAAGATTGACGTCTAATGAAGACAGTCTGTTGTCTTGTTCTTCTCGTTCGGTCCCGTGATCTCTTCTCATCGCGATCTCGGTTTCGATCTCACGATCGTTATCCTTCGACGATAGATTTGTTTCATTGAGTGGATTCGATCCGACTCCGTTGACCGTTCATTTCGACGACCCAGAATCCACTAGCCATGTCTAGCGAACAGTACCATAGAGCTTTATCCAGATCTTCCAGCAGATCGCTGATCAAAGGCATGGGATGAACCATCAGTCGCGTCAGCTGGTTCACTCTTCGATAATCAATGCAAAGGCGAATATCCACTCCGTTCTTCTTGATGATCGCCACTATCGGAGACGCCCAAGCTGACGTGGATGGCTGAACGATCTTGTCTGCCAACAGTCCTTTGATGAGATCTGACAGCTTCTCCCGATGTTCGGGTGCGACCGGACGGACTCTTTGCGCAATTGGTGCGGTCCACCGACATCGATATCACAAATCGTCCATCGTGCCGCTGGTGGTAGAGCATTGCCCTTCCCCATAAGAAGGTGACGGCTCCTCCAAATCAGCGATCTGAGTCTTTGTTGATCTGCGGTGAGAGGAACGTCCGGATCGCCGATCTGAATGTCGTTAATTGTCACTTCTTCCGTAGCAGTGGACATCTCTGGTAACACCGCCAGGTGTTGCTCGATGTCTTCGGCAAACAAACCTCCACTCTCGTGATAGTAGACTGGTGCTTCTGCGGAGTCAGCTTCGTCGATCTTAGACGGCTTGTCCTCTTTAGATCTTTGCGTCGCCTCGGACCGATCCATTCCTGTTCTGTTGTCTGCAAGATTGACGTCCAATGAAGACAGTCTGTTGTCTTGTTCTTCTCGTTCGGTCCCGTGATCTCTTCTCATCGCGATCTCGGTTTCGATCTCACGATCGTTATCCTTCGACGATAGATTTGTTTCATTGAGTGGATTCGATCCGACTCCGTTGACCGTTCATTTCGACGACCCAGAATCCACTAGCCATGTCTAGCGAACAGTACCATAGAGCTTTATCCAGATCTTCCAGCAGATCGCTGATCAACGGCATGGGATAAACCATCAGTCGCGTCAGCTGGTTCACTCTTCGATAATCAATGCAAAGGCGAATGTCCACTCCGTTCTTCTTGATGATCACCACTATCGGAGACGCCCAAGTTGACGTGGATGGCTGAACGATCTTGTCTGCCAACAGTCCTTTGATGAGATCTGACAGCTTCTCCCGATATTCGGGTGCGACCGGACGGACTCTTTGCGCAATTGGTGCGGCTCCACCGACATCGATATCACAAATCGCCCCTCGTGCCGCTGGTGGTAGAGCATTTTCCTTCCCCATAAGAAGGTGACGGCTCCTCCAAATCAGCGATCTGAGTCTTTGTTGATCTGCGGTGAGAGGAACGTCCGGATCGCCGATCTGAATGTCGTTAATTGTCACTTCTTCCGTAGCAGTGGACATCTCTTGTAACACCGCCAGGTGTTGCTCGATGTCGTCGGCAAACAAACCTTCACTCTCGTGATAGTAGACTGGTGCTTCTGCGGAGTCAGCTTCGTCGATCTTAGACGGCTTGTCCTCTTTAGATCTTTGCGTCGCCTCGGACCGATCCATTCCTGTTCGGTTGTCTGCAAGATTGACGTCCAATGAAGACAGTCTGTTGTCTTGTTCTTCTCGTTCGGTCCCGTGATCTCTTCTCATCGCGATCTCGGTTTCGATCTCACGATCGTTATCCTTCGACGATAGATTTGTTTCATTGAGTGGATTCGATCCGACTCCGTTGACCGTTCATTTCGACGACCCAGAATCCACTAGCCATGTCTAGCGAACAGTACCATAGAGCTTTATCCAGATCTTCCAGCAGATCGCTGATCAACGGCATGGGATAAACCATCAGTCGCGTCAGCTGGTTCACTCTTCGATAATCAATGCAAAGGCGAATGTCCACTCCGTTCTTCTTGATGATCACCACTATCGGAGACGCCCAAGTTGACGTGGATGGCTGAACGATCTTGTCTGCCAACAGTCCTTTGATGAGATCTGACAGCTTCTCCCGATATTTGGGTGCGACCGGACGGACTCTTTGCGCAATTGGTGCGGCTCCACCGACATCGATATCACAAATCGCCCCTCGTGCCGCTGGTGGTAGAGCATTTCCCTTCCCATAAGAAGGTGACGGCTCCTCCAAATCAGCGATCTGAGTCTTTGTTGATCTGCGGTGAGAGGAACGTCCGGATCGCCGATCTGAATGTCGTTAATTGTCACTTCTTCCGTAGCAGTGGACATCTCTTGTAACACCGCCAGGTGTTGCTCGATGTCGTCGGCAAACAAACCTTCACTCTCGTGATAGTAGACTGGTGCTTCTGCGGAGTCAGCTTCGTCGATCTTAGACGGCTTGTCCTCTTTAGATCTTTGCGTCGCCTCGGACCGATCCATTCCTGTTCTGTTGTCTGCAAGATTGACGTCCAATGAAGACAGTCTGTTGTCTTGTTCTTCTCGTTCGGTCCCGTGATCTCTTCTCATCGCGATCTCGGTTTCGATCTCACGATCGTTATCCTTCGACGATAGATTTGTTTCATCGAGTGGATTCGATCCGACTCCGTTGACCGTTCATTTCGACGACCCAGAATCCACTAGCCATGTCTAGCGAACAGTACCATAGAGCTTTATCCAGATCTTCCAGCAGATCGCTGATCAACGGCATGGGATAAACCATCAGTCGCGTCAGCTGGTTCACTCTTCGATAATCAATGCAAAGGCGAATGTCCACTCCGTCCTTCTTGATGATCACCACTATCGGAGACGCCCAAGCTGACGTGGATGGCTGAACGATCTTGTCTGCCAACAGTCCTTTGATGAGATCTGACAGCTTCTCCCGATATTTGGGTGCGACCGGACGGACTCTTTGCGCAATTGGTGCGGCTCCACCGACATCGATATCACAAATCGCCCCTCGTGCCGCTGGTGGTAGAGCATTTTCCTTCCCCATAAGAAGGTGACGGCTCCTCCAAATCAGCGATCTGAGTCTTTGTTGATCTGCGGTGAGAGGAACGTCCGGATCGCCGATCTGAATGTCGTTAATTGTCACTTCTTCCGTAGCAGTGGACATCTCTTGTAACACCGCCAGGTGTTGCTCGATGTCGTCGGCAAACAAATCTCCACTCTCGTGATAGTAGACTGGTGCTTCTGCGGAGTCAGCTTCGTCGATCTTAGACGGCTTGTCCTCTTTAGATCTTTGCGTCGCCTCGGACCGATCTATTCCTGTTCTGTTGTCTGCAAGATTGACGTCCAATGAAGACAGTCTGTTGTCTTGTTCTTCTCGTTCGGTCCCGTGATCTCTTCTCATCGCGATCTCGGTTTCGATCTCACGATCGTTATCCTTCGACGATAGATTTGTTTCATTGAGTGGATTCGATCCGACTCCGTTGACCGTTCATTTCGACGACCCAGAATCCACTAGCCATGTCTAGCGAACAGTACCATAGAGCTTTATCCAGATCTTCCAGCAGATCGCTGATCAACGGCATGGGATAAACCATCAGTCGCGTCAGCTGGTTCACTCTTCGATAATCAATGCAAAGGCGAATGTCCACTCCGTTCTTCTTGATGATCACCACTATCGGAGACGCCCAAGTTGACGTGGATGGCTGAACGATCTTGTCTGCCAACAGTCCTTTTGATGAGATCTGACAGCTTCTCCCGATATTTGGGTGCGACCGGACGGACTCTTTGCGCAATTGGTGCGGCTCCACCGACATCGATATCACAAATCGCCCCTCGTGCCGCTGGTGGTAGAGCATTTTCCTTCCCCATAAGAAGGTGACGGCTCCTCCAAATCAGCGATCTGAGTCTTTGTTGATCTGCGGTGAGAGGAACGTCCGGATCGCCGATCTGAATGTCGTTAATTGTCACTTCTTCCGTAGCAGTGGACATCTCTTGTAACACCGCCAGGTGTTGCTCGATGTCGTCGGCAAACAAACCTCCACTCTCGTGATAGTAGACTGGTGCTTCTGCGGAGTCAGCTTCGTCGATCTTAGACGGCTTGTCCTCTTTAGATCTTTGCGTCGCCTCGGACCGATCTATTCCTGTTCGGTTGTCTGCAAGATTGACGTCCAATGAAGACAGTCTGTTGTCTTGTTCTTCTCGTTCGGTCCCGTGATCTCTTCTCATCGCGATCTCGGTTTCGATCTCACGATCGTTATCCTTCGACGATAGATTTGTTTCATGAGTGGATTCGATCCGACTCCGTTGACCGTTCATTTCGACGACCCAGAATCCACTAGCCATGTCTAGCGAACAGTACCATAGAGCTTTATCCAGATCTTCCAGCAGATCGCTGATCAACGGCATGGGATAAACCATCAGTCGCGTCAGCTGGTTCACTCTTCGATAATCAATGCAAAGGCGAATGTCCACTCCGTTCTTCTTGATGATCACCACTATCGGAGACGCCCAAGTTGACGTGGATGGCTGAACGATCTTGTCTGCCAACAGTCCTTTGATGAGATCTGACAGCTTCTCCCGATATTTGGGTGCGACCGGACGGACTCTTTGCGCAATTGGTGCGGCTCCACCGACATCGATATCACAAATCGCCCCTCGTGCCGCTGGTGGTAGAGCATTTTCCTTCCCCATAAGAAGGTGACGGCTCCTTCAAATCAGCGATCTGAGTCTTTGTTGATCTGCGGTGAGAGGAACGTCCGGATCGCCGATCTGAATGTCGTTAATTGTCACTTCTTCCGTAGCAGTGGACATCTCTTGTAACACCGCCAGGTGTTGCTCGGGATGTCGTCGGCAAACAAACCTTCACTCTCGTGATAGTAGACTGGTGCTTCTGCGGAGTCAGCTTCGTCGATCTTAGACGGCTTGTCCTCTTTAGATCTTTGCGTCGCCTCGGACCGATCCATTCCTGTTCTGTTGTCTGCAAGATTGACGTCCAATGAAGACAGTCTGTTGTCTTGTTCTTCTCGTTCGGTCCCGTGATCTCTTCTCATCGCGATCTCGGTTTCGATCTCACGATCGTTATCCTTCGACGATAGATTTGTTTCATTGAGTGGATTCGATCCGACTCCGTTGACCGTTCATTTCGACGACCCAGAATCCACTAGCCATGTCTAGCGAACAGTACCATAGAGCTTTATCCAGATCTTCCAGCAGATCGCTGATCAACGGCATGGGATAAAACCATCAGTCGCGTCAGCTGGTTCACTCTTCGATAATCAATGCAAAGGCGAATGTCCACTCCGTTCTTCTTGATGATCACCACTATCGGAGACGCCCAAGTTGACGTGGATGGCTGAACGATCTTGTCTGCCAACAGTCCTTTGATGAGATCTGACAGCTTCTCCCGATATTTGGGTGCGACCGGACGGACTCTTTGCGCAATTGGTGCGGCTCCACCGACATCGATATCACAAATCGTCCCTCGTGCCGCTGGTGGTAGAGCATTGCCCTTCCCCATAAGAAGGTGACGGCTCCTCCAAATCAGCGATCTGAGTCTTTGTTGATCTGCGGTGAGAGGAACGTCCGGATCGCCGATCTGAATGTCGTTAATTGTCACTTCTTCCGTAGCAGTGGACATCTCTTGTAACACCGCCAGGTGTTGCTCGATGTCGTCGGCAAACAAATCTCCACTCTCGTGATAGTAGACTGGTGCTTCTGCGGAGTCAGCTTCGTCGATCTTAGACGGCTTGTCCTCTTTAGATCTTTGCGTCGCCTCGGACCGATCCATTCCTGTTCTGTTGTCTGCAAGATTGACGTCCAATGAAGACAGTCTGTTGTCTTGTTCTTCTCGTTCGGTCCCGTGATCTCTTCTCATCGCGATCTCGGTTTCGATCTCACGATCGTTATCCTTCGACGATAGATTTGTTTCATCGAGTGGATTCGATCCGACTCCGTTGACCGTTCATTTCGACGACCCAGAATCCACTAGCCATGTCTAGCGAACAGTACCATAGAGCTTTATCCAGATCTTCCAGCAGATCGCTGATCAACGGCATGGGATAAACCATCAGTCGCGTCAGCTGGTTCACTCTTCGATAATCAATGCAAAGGCGAATATCCACTCCGTTCTTCTTGATGATCACCACTATTGGAGACGCCCAAGTTGACGTGGATGGCTGAACGATCTTGTCTGCCAACAGTCCTTTGATGATATCTGACAGCTTCTCCCGATATTTGGGTGCGACCGGACGGACTCTTTGCGCAATTGCTGCGGCTCCACCGACATCGATATCACAAATCGTCCATCGTGCCGCTGGTGGTAGAGCATTGCCCTTCCCCATAAGAAGGTGACGGCTCCTCCAAATCAGCAATCTGAGTCTTTGTTGATCTGCGGTGAGAGGAACGTCCGGATCGCCGATCTGAATGTCGTTAATTGTCACTTCTTCCGTAGCAGTGGACATCTCTGGTAATACCGCCAGGTGCTGCTCGATGTCGTCGGCAAACAAATCTCCACTCTCGTGATAGTAGACTGGTGCTTCTGCGGAGTCAGCTTCGTCGATCTTAGACGGCTTGTCCTCTTTAGATCTTTGCGTCGCCTCGGACCGATCCATTCCTGTTCTGTTGTCTGCAAGATTGACGTCTAATGAAGACAGTCTGTTGTCTTGTTCTTCCTCGTTCGGTCCCGTGATCTCTTCTCATCGCGATCTCTGTTTCGATCTCACGATCGTTATCCTTCGACGATAGATTTGTTTCATTGAGTGGATTCGATCCGACTCCGTTGACCGTTCGTTTCAACGACCCAGAATCCACTAGCCATGTCTAGCGAACAGGTACCATAGAGCTTTATCCAGATCTTCCAGCAGATCGCTGATCAACGGCATGGGATAAACCATCAGTCGCGTCAGCTGGTTCACTCTTCGATAATCAATGCAAAGGCGAATATCCACTCCGTTCTTCTTGATGATCACCACTATCGGAGACGCCCAAGTTGACGTGGATGGCTGAACGATCTTTGTCTGCCAACAGTCCTTTTGATGAGATCCGACAGCTTCTCCCGATATTTGGGTGCGACCGGACGGACTCTTTGCGCAATTGGTGCGGCTCCACCGACATCGATATCACAAATCGCCCCTCGTGCCGCTGGTGGTAGAGCATTTTCCCTTCCCCATAAGAAGGTGACGGCTCCTCCAAATCAGCGATCTGAGTCTTTGTTGATCTGCGGTGAGGAGGAACGTCCGGATCGCCGATCTGAATGTCGTTAATTGTCACTTCTTCCGTAGCAGTGGACATCTCTTGTAACACCGCCAGGTGTTGCTCGATGTCGTCGGCAAACAAATCTCCACTCTCGTGATAGTAGACTGGTGCTTCTGCGGAGTCAGCTTCGTCGATCTTAGACGGCTTGTCCTCTTTAGATCTTTGCGTCGCCTCGGACCGATCTATTCCTGTTCGGTTGTCTGCAAGATTGACGTCCAATGAAGACAGTCTGTTGTCTTGTTCTTCTCGTTCGGTCCCGTGATCTCTTCTCATCGCGATCTCGGTTTCGATCTCACGATCGTTATCCTTCGACGATAGATTTGTTTCATGAGTGGATTCGATCCGACTCCGTTGATCGTTCATTTCGACGACCCCAGAATCCACTAGCCATGTCTAGCGAACAGTACCATAGAGCTTTATCCAGATCTTCCAGCAGATCGCTGATCAACGGCATGGGATAAACCATCAGTCGCGTCAGCTGGTTCACTCTTCGATAATCAATGCAAAGGCGAATATCCACTCCGTTCTTCTTGATGATCACCACTATCGGAGACGCCCAAGTTGACGTGGATGGCTGAACGATCTTGTCTGCCAACAGTCCTTTTGATGAGATCTGACAGCTTCTCCCGATATTTGGGTGCGACCGGACGGACTCTTTGCGCAATTGGTGCGGCTCCACCGACATCGATATCACAAATCGCCCCTCGTGCCGCTGGTGGTAGAGCATTTTCCTTCCCCATAAGAAGGTGACGGCTCCTCCAAATCAGCGATCCAAGTCTTTGTTGATCTGCGGTGAGAGGAACGTCCGGATCCGCCGATCTGAATGTCGTTAATTGTCACTTCTTCCGTAGCAGTGGACATCTCTGGTAACACCGCCAGGTGTTGCTCGATGTCTTCGGCAAACAAATCTCCACTCTCGTGATAGTAGACTGGTGCTTCTGCGGAGTCAGCTTCGTCGATCTTAGACGGCTTGTCCTCTTTAGATCTTTGCGTCGCCTCGGACCGATCCATTCCTGTTCTGTTGTCTGCAAGATTGACGTCCAATGAAGACAGTCTGTTGTCTTGCTCTTCTCGTTCGGTCCCGTGATCTCTTCTCATCGCGATCTCTGTTTCGATCTCACGATCGTTATCCTTCGACGATAGATTTGTTTCATCGAGTGGATTCGATCCGACTCCGTTGACCATTCATTTCGACGACCCAGAATCCACTAGCCATGTCTAGCGAACAGTACCATAGGGCTTTATCCAGATCTTCCAGCAGATCGCTGATCAAAGGCATGGGGTAAACCATCAGTCGCGTCAGCTGGTTCACTCTTCGATAATCAATGCAAAGGCGAATATCCACTCCGTTCTTCTTGATGATCACCACTATCGGAGACGCCCAAGTTGACGTGGATGGCTGAACGATCTTGTCTGCCAACAGTCCTTTGATGAGATCTGACAGCTTCTCCCGATGTTTGGGTGCGACCGGACGGACTCTTTGCGCAATTGGTGCGGCTCCACCGACATCGATATCACAAATCGTCCCTCGTGCCGCTGGTGGTAGAGCATTTCCTTCCCATAAGAAGGTGACGGGCTCCTCCAAATCAGCGATCCGAGTCTTTGTTGATCTGCGGTGAGAGGAACGTCCGGATCGCCGATCTGAATGTCGTTAATTGTCACTTCTTCCGTAGCAGTGGACATCTCTTGTAACACCGCCAGGTGTTGCTCGATGTCGTCGGCAAACAAATCTCCACTCTCGTGATAGTAGACTGGTGCTTCTGCGGAGTCAGCTTCGTCGATCTTAGACGGCTTGTCACTCTTTAGATCTTTGCGTCGCCTCGGACCGATCTATTCCTGTTCGGTTGTCTGCAAGATTGACGTCCAATGAAGACAGTCTGTTGTCTTGTTCTTCTCGTTCGGTCCCGTGATCTCTTCTCATCGCGATCTCGGTTTCGATCTCACGATCGTTATCCTTCGACGATAGATTTGTTTCATTGAGTGGATTCGATCCGACTCCGTTGACCGTTCATTTCGACGACCCAGAATCCACTAGCCATGTCTAGCGAACAGTACCATAGAGCTTTATCCAGATCTTCCAGCAGATCGCTGATCAACGGCATGGGATAAACCATCAGTCGCGTCAGCTGGTTCACTCTTCGATAATCAATGCAAAGGCGAATGTCCACTCCGTTCTTCTTGATGATCACCACTATCGGAGACGCCCAAGTTGACGTGGATGGCTGAACGATCTTGTCTGCCAACAGTCCTTTGATGAGATCTGACAGCTTCTCCCCGATATTTGGGTGCGACCGGACGGACTCTTGCGCAATTGGTGCGGCTCCACCGACATCGATATCACAAATCGCTCATCGTGCCGCTGGTGGTAGAGCATTTCCCCTTCCCCATAAGAAGGTGACGGCTCCTCCAAATCAGCGATCTGAGTCTTTGCTGATCTGCGGTGAGAGGGAACGTCCGGATCGCCGATCTGTGATAGTTAGTTAATTGTCACCGCTTCGGTGAGCAAAGGACATCTCTTGCTAGCACCACCAGGTAATAGCTCGATGGCATCGTCGGCAACAATCTCCACTTCCTCTTGGATAGTAGACTGGGTGCTTCTGCAGAGCTTCAGCTTCGTCGATCTTAGACGGCTTGTCCTCTTTAGATCTTTGCGTCGCCTCGGACCGATCCATTCCTGTTCTGTGGTATGCAAGATTGACGTCCAATGAAGACATCCTGTTTGTCTTGTTCAGCACCTCAGTTGGCGGTCCCGTGATCTCTTCTCATCCAATCTCTGTTTCGATCTCACGATCGGGTATCCTTCGACGATAGATTGTTTCATCGAGTGGATTCGATCCGACTCCGAGACCGTTCATTTCGACGACCCAGAATCCACTAGCCATGTCCCAGCGAGACAGTACCATAGGGCTTTATCCAGATCTTCCAGCAGATCGCTGATCAACGGCATGGGGTAAACCATCAGTGGCGTCAGCTGGTTCACTCTTCGATAATAACGCAAAGGCGAATATTCACTCCGTTCTTCTTGATGATCACCACTATCGGATCAGACGCCCAAGTTGACGTGGATGGCTGAACGATCTGTCTGCCAACAGTCCTTTGATGAGATCTGACGAAGCTCTACCGATATATTGGTGCGACCTGACGGACGCTTTGCGCAATTGGTGCGGCTCCACCGACATCGATATCACAAATCGTCCATCGTGCCTTGCTGGTGGTGAGAGCATTGCCCCTCCCCAGAGTAGGAAGGTGACGGCTCCTTCAAATCAGCGATCTGAGTCTTTGTTGATCTGCGGTGAGAGGGAACGTCCGGATCGCTGATCTGTATGTTGTTAATTGCCATTTC